GAAAAAAATCTGAGTCACATCCCTTACTCAAAACTCAGTGGTGCCTTGTCTTGTATCCTGACTCTTGACTTTATAATTGCTGTTTTTTTCCCCACAAATTAAAATACGTCAGGTGGTTTGTAGGTGATAGGCCAGAATCAGAATCAGAAATACTTTATTAATCCCAGGGGGAAATGTGTTGCTACAGTTGCTTATAACACCAAAAATCTGTAGGAAGTACAGATAAGTTCACAATATAAAATAAAATAAAAATAGTCATAACAATATAATAAGCATAAGTACCAAGTGAAAGCAATAATAAAGTAGTAATAAGCTATGTTCAAGCGCAGGTAATTGAGAATATAAACAATATTTACAAATATGAATACACTGAGGGATTAACAGCGTAGATAGTGCACGGTTCATGTATACATCGCACATTTGATGTATAAATATTGTCCAGTTTTCAACAGATTGCACAGTTTTAGTAGAGAAAAAATAAATAAAAATAACGATATGAACTGCAATAAACAAGCAGAAATAAAGAGCATAAAACAGCTTGTGTCTGTCTGCTGTTCTCAATGTTTCGAAAACACTTCTGTTTACAACATGTGCCTTCTAACTCCAAAATACATTCAAAAAACAGTTGTTTTCCCTCAACTAAATTGGAATGAATGAATCAGAGAGTAGCTAATAAATAGCTGTTAGGTGGGGGTTATTTCTGTATGAGATGGACAATTATGAAATCGTGAAACAGACTGTGGATCATCTTAGATTTCTTCAGCCATGGTCAGACAACACAGAAACACAACACACGGCTGACAAAGTGCAGACCATCGCTGACCCATGCTGACCAAGATCACACAATCATTGACAATCATTGGCAAAGTGGCCATCATGGGCAAAATGGCAAAGTCTTCATCACACAGTGTTGCTTATATTCTGCAAGAAGGTACAGCCCACAAATTCCTTTTCATTTGGGTACATCACTATAAAACAATAAAGATGACATGACACTGATTTGTATACATAACAGATGTAGACTCTCTGTCTAGCAAACAGTTGCTGACAACATATAGTTGGCTCCTATCCATTTATAGATCTGCTACTACTTAGGTGCTTCACCCATGTAAGGTTAACGCTTCACAGACCCAAAAGAAGAATTACCCTAAAATCGTTGACACAATTTAAAGATATGTCCACAAAATTATCAAGATGAATGAATCCATGAAAATACGTACTAACAATAGCTTTAGCTTCATCTAATTGCCCAGCCCTAGTGGGGATGTCATCTTTTTATATCATAAACCACAAAAAAGTGACAGATTATTGCCATGAAATGCACACAATTGTGTTTGAAGTTCTCACAGCTATACAGACTTTATAATATCAGACCATGTTAGTGTTTTTGTTGTTTATTGTCATGCAAAATATTTCCCAAGTCAATTACCGGTAGATAACACCCGATATGAGTTACTGCAGATAACTGAGTCGATGATTTTTTTACCTCCACTATCAGTTAGGAGAGGTTCATAGAATTCATGGTGTGAATGTGCAGCGACCTACTGACTATTCTGTCTACAAGAGAAACAAGATGTAGACAAAGCGTCAGGTTGTGGAGGAAACGTGGGCAGTTTGACGCAAGGCTGACAGAGGAGGAATTATGCCCTGAGAGGCAGCGCTGTGTTTACAGCAGCACCCTTGTCTTAGTGCCAGAGAGGGTGTCAGAGGGCAGAGCTAGGCCAGGGTGGCACAGAGTTCACCAGCAGACACTTTCCGCATCAGCAAAACGCTGCGTCAGCCCCCAAACAAATGACTTTTTCTGTCTGAGGTTTTGGGTTTGCAAATGTCTGACTTTCTTTTTCACTGTTTCTTCTCAATGATGCTGATGTGATTCATCACTTCCCAACATGCCCCTCCCCCCCTTGTCTGGCATAAAAAAACACACTTCCTAACATTCTCTATTGAATACCTCACATTGCCTTTCTCCCCCTTTATTTATAGGCTGGTATACCAGAGAGTTTTTAATTGATCTCTCACATTGTAAGGGACACTAATTAGCACATTTTTCACTTTCGATTAATATATTTCCTTTCTTTACATATTTTAACATATGGCAGATATATAAATATCATGGAGCTGAATAAAGTACGAGGCAGATCTCTACACCCTTCCTGTCAAATTGGAAAGGAAGTGCTAGAGGAATAATAAGGCAGTGTTTCTCCCATCTGTCAGTTTAGTAATTGCTCCTCTTCTTGTTCCTCCTCGTCTTATTTTTACTCTAGCTGGATTAGGTTAGCACTTTCCCCCTTGAGGCTCAGGGAAGGAGCAACCATGCTACAAAATAAGATATGCATGGGAAAACTCTCTGATCCTGTTAAGTATAAATTTAATCAAGTGTCCTGTAATGTGCAGTGTTTCCCCTAGGTTTACAGCTTTTTTTTTTAAGGAATCTTGGTGTTCATGCGTTACTTTTAATGACAGCTATCCTGTTCTATCGGACAGGTATCCTTAAATGACTTCTCTACAATAAAGGCACAAAAAGCCGTTGGGGGTGGGGGGGCCTAATATAATGGTATCTACCCTGGCCCTGTTTTGGTCAGGGAGAGATGCTGCATGTTTGTTCAATGTGAAGGGGGAACTACTCCAAAAGTGAGACTCTTTTGACTTTTAACTTTGAATGGAAGGGTCAATAAGCCTGAAGTAACTTCCTCACTGATAGGTGTTGAGTTGCCTTTTATATAGACCATCCCATTCTGATTTTAAAAGCATTTATTGAGTGAAGACAGCTCTAGCTCTTGGCTAGAATATGATAGAATTTATTGAAATATTCTTCTTTGTTCTAAATTGTAGTCTTTATGTATTTGTTTCCTGTTTTTAAATGTGCTTACAGCAGAGGGCCATTGAGGTGTTCTTTGTTAAATGTAAGCTCAGATCGAACCTTACTGCCAGTTTTCATTGCAATACAGAAAATGATGTTATCTTGTAGGAAAAACATTCTGAAATTTTTTTTTTAATGGATACTATATTGGCTCCAGATCAGACATTCATCATTGTACATTTTATGATTATTATCCAAAACGAGCAAGACACATAGTTTGATAGAGTGTAATTATCAGATTTACATTTTCTCTCTTCCAGTCATTCAGTTTTAATCATGAAACAATTCCTGTCCTTGGATGGACCTGGCCTTGCCTAATTCATAGGAATGAAGGATTACATCATCTCTGGAGCAGAGTGGAGTAACTCCCTGGCTCCCCTCACAAACCTCAGCCCCTCCTTCATCCCCCTCCTTCATTAATGATTTCCTTCTCCCTCTTATTAATTTCTACCTCAGTTCCCCCTCCCCACCTTCTCTATCTTTATTCCACAGGTCAGTCTTAGTTTGAACTGTCTGCTTCTCTTTGGGATACCCCTGGCCTCTGGCCACCATGTCACCCGTTCACATAAGCTGACATGGATTTATTATTTGATTCAAAAAAGTTACAGCTTGTTTAAATTGAGTTCCTGGCTCATCTAGCTCCATTTCATTTGATGATCTACTCACATGACCTCAGAGGCTGAAGCAAAAATCCCCTTGCATTTCATAAAAAGCTCTTGAACTTTAAATGGGTTGGAAACGTTTTCCAATGTCAGTATGAAACCTGAAACTGCATGTTTTTCAGGGGTATGATTGTAAATGTATGTCAAAAAAGTTACTGGTTGCCAGAATGCACACACTACTGATCCAGTCACAGGATTTTACGAGTAATTGTGTCTGTAAAACTGCCAGTTCCTGCAGTAAGTAGGCTCTAGTAAGACTTATTTAATCCCTCGGTTTTTGTTATCTTTTACAGGATGAAATGAATGTGAACCTTGTTTGTTCGAAAGGCTTCAGGGGTCTGTGGTCTTCCATCTGGCCGCTCAGAGCTGCAGCTGTCCACCCGACAGGGCAGAAAGAGCTGTACATCAACGCAAAGTAGACAGTGACATTGGGATATCTTTGGACAGAAGGGCTAGCAGATTTATATTCTAGTTTCACCTCATGTCGGATTTAGCGACAAGATCCTTAGGGTTAAGTATGACCCATCTTCCAAGCAGGAAGTGAATCTGGTCTGTGTCCTGTCTCTATTTGTGTGGCTGTCCAAATCCAAAGCTGTTGGCCTGACCCATTGGTATCTATAGCGCTGGTCCAAGATGAATAGGAATGGGCTCCTTATGTCCTATTGACTCTGACAACAATAGAGCTCCATGACCTGCAGGTTATGTATAGAGATGTGTGCAGCCAGTGTCAGCAGAGCAAAAATTGTTTAGAGGAAAGAGCAAAATAGAAGGATGACAGTGCAGCGGCTCTGACATCATACCTGTCATTTTTTTTGGATGTACATGTATCCACTAATCCATCTGTTCGTCTATCAATTACATTGTCCTTTGCTTTAGCCTTGATATTGTGCAGCAGCATGATCTAAAGTTGCTTGAATTTAAATCTGTCTAACCCATTGAGATGGTCATGAACAGTAAAACAGCCGAATATTTTCTGAGTATGTCAAGTAAGGAAACAAAAACAATATTTGTGAATGATTTACACTGAAGAGTGTTTTTCAATTATCAGTTTTTAAAGTCTACAGCCTTTGATGCTGTTTCGCTTCCATTCAGTGTTTCCCCTACCATTATATTAGGGGGGCGGCCCCTAGATTTATTTTTGGGCTTTTTGTGCCTATATAGGGATAGGATAGAGTCGGAAATCAGGGAAAGAAGTCATTTAAGGATACCTTTTGTGATAGAAAAGGACAGCTGTCATTAAAAGTAACGCATGAACACCAAGATTCCTTCAAGTGTTTGTGTCAGCGTGTCCCCCCGACCAATGCTGTAAACCTAGGGGAAACACTGCCATTGTTGTGTGTACCCTGAAGAAGCTTAAAAAAGTCATGTGATTTATCTCAAGAAGTATGAGTTGACTTAGGGTCTCCATAACTGATGTCCTAATCATTTGTTTACAGTTTTTATTGCGCTAAGCTATGGTGTCTTTTCTCCTTCTACAGGGGTGATCAGCCAATGGCAGAGTGAGTCCAAAGAGCGGGTCATCTCTCTTGTCCTTACCCATCTCCCGCTGCTTAAACCTGGCAATGTTGAAGCCAAGGGCGAGTACATGCGCCTCCTGCCACGCATCCTGGCCCACACCATCGAACATGGCCATCACTTGGAGGAGTCTCGCCAGCTCCTGTCCTACGCCCTCATCCACCCTGCAACGTCCCTGGAAGACCGAGCCGCCCTGGCACTCTGGCTCAACCATCTGGAGGAGAGGGCCGCTGCCCGAGGAGACTCACTGGAAAGGCCTCCTCCATCCGGGCAGCACCACCACCACCAGTCCACTCCTCCATCCACCCTTAGCTCATCAGGATCTTCATCCTCCACTAACACGTCTTCGTCAGGCAATCTCTACTCATTACACCACCAGCGCTACGGCTCAGACGACCGTCTCAATGGATGGCAGAGCTCCAGGGATTCAGGACTGGGTGGAGGCTGGCACCAGCAGCAGGGCTGTGAAAACGGGCACCTCCTTCTCTACCCATCATCCTCAGTGCCGACAACCATCAACACAGTTGGAACCGGTGGAGGTGGTAACACTAGTAAGTAAAGGCCTTTCATTGAATAAAGAATAAATGTTTTTTATCTATTCCATCAATTGCCATGGGGACAGAGAGGATGATAGACATGATGGATGACAGCACACTTTGATTTACATACTGTAGACTAAAATCTTCACTGCAATGTGATTTATGTGCTATAAGCCTAACTGGATGACTTAAGTTGTCCATAAAAGGTTTACATCAGTAAACTTGTAAAAATACCATTCAAGAGGACAAGTCATTTCACAGTTGTTTTTACTTCACTGAACTTGTTTCTTTGAACATTCCTTTATTCAGATATAAGGTGAGGAGTACATTTAAGCCCAGTCTGACTTGTGTACTTATAAACACTACACCTTCTGAGATAACCTTCGTAATCCTTCTGATGACTTATCCTGCCAGCTTGACTGGTGATAGTCTCTCTGTCTTAGGTGGTCACCTGAACTCCTGCACCCAATACCAGTTGCACAGGCTGGCTCTCTGTACTGTAACGTGTGTTTTAAACATCATATCATACAGTCATTAAAAATAAGCTTCAGTGAGTAACAGAATACATGACTAATCAGTTTAAAAAACATTTTCTCTATTTATTAAAAAAGCACAAGACATCTGTACAGCATTTTACAGCACAAAAACACTTAATCTGTCAACTCAATAAAGACACTCTGAGTATACCCCAACTAATCAAATTTACTTAATACACTCTAAATACTCAGGAAAGAAATGTAATGGACTCAGCACAGTAAGCACTCTCTGGTCAGGCCCACAGCACTCTGCACTACCCACACAGCAGCTACAGAGGCTGTTTGAGGTGGAAGTCAACACACAGAGAGGGCAGGGCTGCTGAAATTGAACATAACTATGGTCAGAGCAGGATATTTCAAGACAAGAATGCAAAGGCCCTGTGTTTTTTTCTGGGAGATGAAAGAAACAGCTGAAGGTTTATAAATAAAGACAAATTTAAGCCCTGCTCACTGCTCCAAGAAAGATCCTCTTGTATTTTTGACTCCTAGCAGCTTCAGCCCCACACAAAGGACCGCAGGATTTCACAACTGATAAACTAGAGTTACCCCAGACACCGGCACAAGGTTGGGGGACACACTGGACAGATGCTTTTCTTGACTAATGAAACACAGGAGAAGTGTTGCTTACAACAACCAAGCTGTGTACATTCATTGGTTTGCAGTCAGGGGTGATGATAAAATATAGTTCGCTATCGCCTTTAACATCAAATCTTCGTATTTCTTTCATTCAAAATGTGAATCAGTGACTATAGTTAACAATTTGATTGCAGATTATGCAATGCCAACTTAATTTTGAACACAGAGTCACTTAGTCTCCACCCCCCTCCCTGCACTCTATGTTTATCTGTTCATGATGATGATAACAGGAGTATAATTGTCCAACCACATCAACCTGTATGCGACTGATACCACATCCTGTTGACCCCCCAGCCTTAGTCCAAGCCGCAGCAACACATACCATCCGTCCCTTCCCTTGTAAGGCATCCTTTGTGGGAGACTGTATTTAGGGAAAATGGCTAATATTTAGGGACTGGAACTTGTAATGTTAGCTGGGCACCTATTTTAAACGGGGCCCATGAAGTCCTATACATAGCGCCAACAGCAAGAGGACCGCATATAGGAGGAGGAGGAGGAGGAGGAGTGAGACTGGAGTATTGGTGGCAGCTTACCCCGTCAAAGTGGCGACACAAAAAGCCCTTTGGCTCCCTACCTTTTTATTCTGTTTACCTCCTTCAGCAGGAGGAATCTGTGAAGGTAAAGCTGCTTCTACTATGGGAGCGATTAGTGATCAAAATTCAAATGATAAAGCTAATTTGAAAATTCAAATGCATTAACAGAAATGCTTTTTCATTTTCAGAATATGAGTGTAATATTTGACTCAAAAACAAAATGATGATTAATTTATCTAATTTGAATTTTAGTTTTCAACTTCAAAGATGCACATTCTTTGACTACATTAAAATGAGGAAAAAATGACATTTGCTTTATCATTTTCAAAAAATGCCCCGCTAAATCTGTATCATAATTCAAATGAAAAAGCTCATTTTAAAATGAAAATACAGGAACAGTAACACATTTTAACTTTCAGATTATAGGTGCATTATTTGACCTATATTTAAAATGGATATTCAGTCATCCAGTTTGCATTATACTTTTACTCTCTATGTCTGCATATTGTATGACATCATTCAAATGAAAACGAAAAGGTCTTTGGCTTTTCGTTTTCAAATTTGCCGTGCTAAAAAGTGATCAAAATTCAAACCAACTCGAAAACGAAATGGCAAAGTGGACGGCGCAGGAAAGTGACGTCAGACTCCAGCTCCTATGCAGGTGAACGTAATATTTACAGTCTATGAGGCGAGCGGACAGAACGCGCAGTACGATGGGTGGCGGGGTGAATCTTTAACACTAGGGCAGACTGTAGTTCACACTGTGATGCAGGTGGCAATCGGAGTGTTTTTTTCAGCGGACACTAAACTTTCAGCGAGCATGATGCAGCAGCTTTATAACCCGAGCTGCCAAGTCTCACGCATGACACCATGTCCACTATCTCTGACCGTGAGAGTCACTCAGCATCTGCACGCCGTGAAATTCACGCAGACGTGTCCTAAGACCGCTTTATTGATAGATCATAGATCACTCTCTTCTCTGCTTAACTTCGTTACATTAAAAAAGATTATCGATTGAATTTTCTGTTTCAAATAATCTCTCCAGCTCTGTACACAAAGTGTCTCTCATCCTCTGTGCGTAATGGCACACACTCTCCCTCTCGACCGACTGTATGAGCTCTCGCTCCCTTTCAGAGATTGTTTTGTAGTTGTTAAAAGAATAATCAACTACAACGCCAAAATTGAATGAAAATCAGGGCAACAACGAGCTTGTACCAGTGTTAAAGATTCACCCTGCTACCCATCGTACTGCGCGTTCTGCCCGCTCGCCTCAGACTGTAAATATTACGTTCACCTGCCTGGGAGCTGGAGTCTGACGTCACTTTCCTGCGCCGTCCACTTTGCCATTTCGTTTTCGAGTTGGTTTGAATTATGATCACTTTTTAGCACGGCAAGTTTGAAAACAAAAAGCCAAAGACCTTTTCGTTTTCATTTGAATGATGTCATACAATATGCATACATAGAGAGTAAAAGTATAATACAAACTGGATGACTAAATATCCATTTTAAATATAGGTCAAATAATGCACCTATAATCTGAAAGTTAAAAAGTGTGTCTTTTACTGTATTTTCATTTTAAAATTAGCTTTTTCATTTGAATTATGATACAAATTTAGCGGGGCATTTTTTGAAAATGATAAAGCCAATGTCATTTTCTTCCTCATTTTAATGTAGTCAAAGAATGTGCATTTTTGAAGTTGAAAACTAAAATTCAAATTAGATAAATTAATCATCATTTTATTTTTGAGTCAAATATTACACTCATATTCTGAAAATGAAAAAGCATTTCTGTTAATGCATTTGAATTTTCAAATTAGCTTTATCATTTGAATTTTGATCACTAATCGCTTCCATACTTCTACTGGGTCCAGTGTCTTTGAATTTCAGTTATAATGGCAGTCTTGGTTTGCCCCTCTATGTCCAAACATCTCAAGGAGCAGATGTCTTAATTATTAAAGAAGTGTGGAGAAAAAAGAAGATGGAGTCAGGAAGAAGAAAAGTTTAGCAAAACAAAAAACAATTATCATGAGATGGATGTTTCAGGAATTAATCATTTGTTCAAAATCAATGATAGTTTTACCTTATTCATGGGGTATCAATTAGCATGTAGCCTGAAGTTTGAGTCTCTAACCAAAAAGCACATAAAGGAGAATTTTCAAATCAGTTTCAGGTTTAGGTCACGTTATTTTTACCCATAGGTAGATTTGTTTGCAGCCAGCAAGATCAACATCCATCATGACACTCAGATTACAAAAAAGATGTAACAAGAAACAACACATGAGAGAGAAGGTAAAATATTTAAAACCTACTAAAACATGATTAAAAAAACGTTTACAATCAATTGTATAAAAGATAACAGTGCTCAAGGTTCCACCAATCAGGGCATATACTGTAGGAGATAAAAGTCTCAACCAATAAGATCAATAAAAAACAGAAAATAAATAAATATTCTCTTCAGCTAGGGTAAAAATAGGTTTTGGACATTAATAAATCAATCAATGCAGATATGGCTGTAACTTGTTCAGTTCAGTGATAGCAGCAGAAACACATTTTTGTACCGCTTTGTTCTGCACCTCAGGGAAAAATATCTCCAAAAAGCACTATTTGTTTAAACTCAAGGTCAATATCCGCTGTACCTGTCCAGTAAACAGGGATGTTGGGAAGAGCTGATACCATTTAACAATTTTGTTTGGGAATTTCTTTTAAAGATGTGTGACAGAACAATGACACCAAAGAAAAGGACCAGAGTGATTCGATAAAAGCCGATAGTCAGAACATGATCATTATGGTTTGGTCACTGTGAAAGTTCCACAGTTTCCTTAGACAGTACAAATGCTGATGATACTTTTTAAACTAGAATCAATGATAGTCCAAACATATTTACAGATGAAGAACAAATAATCTAAACATTAAAGTTCATGAAAGAACCCTGAAGTTGATATCTAAATTATGGGATATGGCATAAACATTTTTTCACCGTTGTTCTCGGCTTTATAATGTGTTTATTTGAATAAACTGACTGGTGTACAGTAAAGATTTTGTTGTAACCCTATGTCTCAGAAAAACAAAGGGCTGTCTGTGTGGGAGATGTAGTTTGTCAATGTCTGGATATTCACTGTTGTAGATAAATAAGATACCAGGTCAGTGTGTGTTTTCCCTGTCTGGCAGATGCTGCCTACCTCTCCTAGCTGTCTTAAGTTCACTCACGAATTGCTAAATATCCAACTGAATGTTATCATTCACCTAATGATCATGATAGGCTCATGGAAAGCTGATCATGACCATCAGCTAATCAGGTGTTGTTTTTTCATGTAACGGAGTATTTGAAAGAATACAGCATTTTAAAAAAATATAATTTCTATAACCCTAACCCTAAAGGGCCTTTCAGATGGGATGCGGTGTGCGCTGCGCTCGCCACAGAGTAGGGCGCAGAGCAGAAGGGGAGCACACACGAGCAAACAGCAACAGCGCATGTTGCTAGGTTACAGAAACATTAGTCGGGAAAATACCTACCTTTTGGATGCACATTATGTTTGTATTTTGTCGACTTTTCAGTAGAAAGCTCTGGTCTTTCTACTGCTGAGGAGGAGGACAGAAGCAGCACAGAAGGAGAGGCTGTGTGTTCATGAAATCCTCAGGGGAAGACAGGACTTGAGAGAGTTTAGGCTCGTCCAGGAGCTGCAGCTCTATAACGACCGCTTCACAACTAGAACACACATTTCTGCTGCTGTTTTAAACTCACCTGGTACGCCCAAACTGTTGGACATTTCTTTTCAAACTAGACATTTCTCTCCGATGTCTCGGTAGGTGGGTAAACTAGAGCTCACCTATAGCTTTGTTGATCTGATCTTCCCTCCTATTGGACACTCGGAAGTGACGTCACCGAGCTCTGACCCCAAGTTGATTTTTTTTTAACTTCAATGCAGTGCTTAAGAACAGCAAGCGAGAACTTGCGCTGCGCTCAGCTCACACATAGACAATGAGCTTGACAACGGTGTGCAAGCGTCCACCGTGTCCTATCTGAAAGGCCCCCTTCAGTCTCCAAACATCCTCTAACAGTTTTTTTTTTTTTTTGTCCTGCAGTCCTGACAAGTGGAGGTGGCAGCCAGCAGCACAGTCCTCTGAAGCGATCTGTGTCCCTCACTCCTCCAATGAGCGGCCCTAGCAACCAGCCTCTGGGCCATGTCTGGCTGTCTCAGGAGGACCTCAGGACCGCTAGAGGCCCAGCCCCAGACCACGCACCTCTCTCTCCCCAGAGCAGCATTGCCTCTTCAGGTAGTGGAGGCAGTGAGCATCTGGAGGAGGCTGGTTTATGTTCAAGTCTGCATCGCAGTTCCTTCCATGAAGATGGCAGCGGCATGAGGGGTCAGTGTAAAAGACCAGTGGGTGGTCTGTACGCACACTTAGTGTTACAACTTCTGTTGTCCTACTAAGATTATAAGGAACAGTTATTTTTTTTATTTATTGATTTTAATAATAACAAGGTTTTAAAGTGGAACCAAAGGGTTTTTACATTGCACATGTTTCATGATGCTCTTACGGATTTAGAAGGATGGACATGACAGACCAGGGGAGAATCTGAGGGCGCACTCACACTAGGAAATCTGTACCATGCCCAAGCACGTTTGACCCCTAAAGTCCAGTTCGTTTGACCAGTGTGAGTGCTCAGTATCGTGCTCAAGCACTGTACACTTTCTTGGCACGGTACGGTTGTTCATGCACGAGCACAAGCATGGGAACGTTACGTGGACATGATGTTTACTCGATCCCCATCTTGCATAATCAAGAAATCCAGAATTGTTAGAGGGCCGTATCTGAAGAAAATGACTCAAATAAGCCACAAAGTCAGTAAAGTTGCCATCATGTTCTCTTTGTTGTTCTCCGTTGTTACCAGACTCGAGGAAATTCACCGTGCCTCTATCATTACCTCTATGGCCCATAATGACAGCTACCAGAAATGTTAAGGTGGGGGGTTTTCTCCATGTTACTCAGCGCATGAGTGCATGTTGTGAATCAATCAAGCCACCTTAAATATTAAAATGATAACTGACCATTGTGCAAGGTTTTAAAGTCTCTCTTGCAATGCGATGATCCGATCTTGAAGTGTTTGAAAAAGTGTATATGAATTTCAACCGGATTATGCAAACTGCAAATATTCTATTTCCTCACTTGGAGAATCAAGTCCTGAAACTCCATTCGTGTGCTCTCAAGCAGCACTTCATGTATGGTAATGATGTATGTACAGAAGGTAACCATGCTCAGGCCGGATGGGCCTGGAGCAGTGTGAGTGCAGGTCAGCTGGGGACTGGGGGGGGATCGGTACGGGGCAACCGAGCCTAGTGTGAGTGCACCCTTACTTGAATGTCTGCTGTGAATGCCTTACAGACATTCAGCTGGAGGCTTTGGCAAGTTGTTGATCCAGTCTGAGCAGTTTGTCAGGGGAAGCAGAGGCCAGAACTGCCCACCCCTGTGACCTTACTCTGAGGCTTACTGCACCCAAGTTAAACCTTTCATGTCTTCATCCAGTCTTAGATTTTTTTATAGTGTGAAAATGATAAAGAGACATTCCTCAAACATTTGCCATCAACCGCCCCTAAGAATAAAACATCTACTTTATTTTAAATCTAAAAATGCTCTCTCATTTTCTTGTATTGAAGTTTCAGGTAATGGAAGAAGGTGCTTGATTAAGATAGGTTGATATTGTATTGAAATATCAAGAATCATGTATCTGAATGGGGGTTTTCTGAGTTTGTTTTTGTCGCTCTTGTAAGCAAAAACATAACAAGGCAATCAGATTCCTCTAAACGGCAAAAATAAAACAGAGATGTCTCAGCAACTAGTGAACACTCTCAGCAGTTTCAATGAATAGAACAGATGAGCTGAGCATTAGTAAGCACTTAAGAGTTTACAGTAAGCAATGTCTAAGGAAACATGTGATCAGTAAGAATTTGATTGGTTGTTTTATAAATATCCTGTATATTGCACTAATTTACACCAGTATATGTGATCATATGTTGAAGGACCAATAGATGCAAAAAAAAAAACTTTTTTTATTTGGGATCATGGGGACTGAAGATTCAATTCGACATCTGTAAATTTTGTATTTTATAGATGAGGACAGTTTACTAACGTTTTATGTATTTATTTATTATTTCTCAGGAATATAACTTTCAATATGGGCTTTTCATAAAATAATGTAGGTGATATGTTGCCTGCAGCAGTGATTATGTAAGAATATAAGGTTCAAACATTACAATATCATTTTTTAAATTGGCAATAAGTGTTTTGAATTAGTTTTTGTGTGTTTGTGTTGCTTGCCCTACAGATGTTCCTGCATGGCTGAAGAGTCTCCGTCTCCACAAGTACGCCGCTCTCTTCTCCACGATGACCTACGACGAGATGATGTCTCTCACTGAAGAACAGCTAGAGGCACAGGTTTATACACAGACACACTCACACACACACACTAGGGATGCAACTATTCGGCGACGTCTACAAAAATCGCTTACAAAAAAAAAAAGTTTTTTGCTGGTCACGTCATCGCGCATGTTTTTTTTTTCTGGAGTCCCTCCCCCCCAGTCCCTCTCCTCACTTCCTATACAATAAAGCAGACCTTGCTTGTCATAAATAAGTGCCAATAAGTAATTGCGCAAAACATTATCCGATTAGTCGATTAATCGTTTCAATAACCGATGACGAGTTGTCGACACACAGACACACACACACACACACACACACACACACACACACACACACACACACACACACACACACACACACACACACACCAGAGACAAAAGCCCAAAGAGACTTAATTTTGATTGAATACAGAAAAAAAAACTTCACATGATAATGTTGTATCCACTTAAAGAGAAAGTGAAACCTCACCAAATTGATCGAGTCAAAATGAGGAAACACACAGGGTACCAGGATCTAACATGACTCCTTAGATTCAGAAATGTTTGTCATCTGTATGCTCTTCTGTACTTCAGGATCAGATGACCACAGTAGAGCAAGTTAGCTGTGATACACAAACAAGGAGTCTATTCTGAAACAGAGGATGCAGCTAAAATTAACACTGTTCACCGGAAAGCAGAACACTTCCTCCAGGTGCTGCTTACTCTTTCTCTGTCTGACCTGACATAACGCACAGACACTTTGAGATGTGCTCCAACAACTGGACAAACGGTTTCTCCTGTGTGACCATGGATTAGTTATGCTGTTAGTGGCTTGATCAGGATACGTCTTGATCATCTGTATCGGTTCTTAATGAGACAAGCTAGAAGCTGTGTTAGCCTTACATGAAATACATTTGCTTTGAATTTCGGCCTCTCTGCAATGGTTCATATAAAGTCAGCAGGTTCCCTTCTACATTTGAAAGTATCCTCACACCCTCTGCTTGTACACTTCACGGCTCTTAATCATCTCAAAGTATGTCATCAGTTTGTCAGAACAATGTTTTGCCAAATAGAAAAGTGATTTGATGACAAAAATGAGAACAGAAAAAACTCTTCCCTTCAACAGAAAGTCACCAAAGGAGCAAGACACAAGATTGTTATCAGCATCATGAAGCTCAAAGAGAGGCAGCATCTACTCCGCAGCTTGGAAAAGGTCAGTCACTGTGTAGCACCTCTCCTTCTCTTCAATTGGTATTTGTTTTTATCACTTTTTTGTAATCAGTGACTAGGCTTGTAACCTTACGCAGAACCCCATCTCTCATTTGTGAGAGAAAATGATAAGGGGAGCCGTTCTCAGATGGTGTTATGTGTCTAAGATGGCATCTAAGAGAACACCTAATCTAGGAAGGAGAGTTTTGGGCTCTGAATTTAAACTCATCAGCCTCCCCCACTCCACGCCCCTCTATTCAGCATTCAAAGCAATACAATGGCACTCAAGGGCACACCGCAGGAGGGACTTCTTGGGCCAGCTAAATTCAGACTTAACCTTTTCACCAACACTTCATTTTAAAATGTATTCCCGCTGCATTTGTAGGGCTGGGGAAACAAGACACCTGTTGCTCTGTATTTTGGGTTTACACTGACTCATGTAGCGCTGCTCTCAGGAGAGAGGTTGGAAAGCTAACATGATGCATCCGAGCAGTGAAGGAACTCTTTTGGGATTACTCTGTCCTCTGCTCTTTCACGTTGTCTTTTTCTCTAAGTATGCAGCATGCAGGTAAAAAGAAGTAGGCATTTCTTGTGCCCACAAGTAGAATAGATCTCCAACCACAGAACATGACAGGGCTAGAAACTCCCCCCACTCTGAGCTGGTGGACATGGTGAGGTTGATCTCCCTCCTCATTAATGCTTTTGAATCTTCATAATCTTCTCCCTCTCTCTACCACTCTCCAATCCTTCCCCATCATGTTCCCTCCTATCATTCTGCTCAACCAGGATGTGTTAGAAGGCAGTAATCTGCGAGCCCCGCTGCAGGAGCTCCACCAGATGATCATGACGCCTATCAAAGCTTTCAGTGGTGGAGAGGAGGCCTCTTTGCAGCGCCCCCTGCTGAGCGCAGAAGGAAAGAGTGCTGCTCCTGGCTCCCACCTGAGCAGCAGCAGTGGTGGTGGAGGAGAAAGCGAGTCTGGCACCAGTGTCATTGCAGAGGGGGATATACCCGGCCAGTTCACGCGTGTCATGGGCAAAGGTGGGCAGCATGTACCAGCACTCAGTTGGGATTATTGTCATTGACCAAAAGAGGTTTTTTTGTTTTGACCTAATGTCTTATCCTCCTCCACAGTTTGTACTCAGCTACTGGTGTCGAGGTCAGATGAGGAGAATATCAGCTCTTACCTACAGCTCATTGACAAATGCCTTATCCATGAGGTACTGACTCCCTCTGAAACACACAAAAACTTTGAAGTCAAATGCAAATCAGACACACAAAATACAAAAACTAGTTAAGTATTGAAAATGCATTTACAGTTGTTTATTGACATTATTCATGCAAAATTATTTTTTTTACTGAGGAGGCTGTAGTCCTCATCTGTCCTATCCCTCTTCAGCTATTCTAGATAGTAAAGTCAGAACGGCTCAGAAAATGTTGAAGGAATCAATTAACTTGAAGTTGATTTCCAAGTATAGTGAACAGCTAAATGTCAGACAAGAGATACTTTCAATGAATAATAGAGTTCTGCAGCTACAGTTGGAATGCTTTCATCCAGACATCTCTTTGTCTCTCTACTTCTTGTATCAAGAAAAACTTCAGTTTCATTATGCTGTACTATAAATATTAATGTTCAGTATATCATGTATTAGTTTCACCCTTCTGTAACAGAGAGATTTCTGAAAATCCTCGGCTGTGCTCTTCACCAGTCATGCTTCATTTCATCCCCGATTCATTCTGCCTGTTCTCCCCTCCCCCCTCCCTGTCAGTCCTTCACTGAGACACAGAAGAAGAGGCTGTTGTCATGGAAACAACAGGTCCAGAGGCTGTTCCGGTCCATTCCAAGGAAAACCCTCCTTGACATAGCAGGGTACCGACCGCAGAGGAGGTACAGGAACACACATACTGTAGCCTTGGTTTTCTGTCTATTCTCTGTGAATAAAACGTATCACTAAAAGAACCAGAACCAGAGGAATCCATGTTTTAAGAAAACACTATAGATTACTGGTTGTAAATTAAAGAAGTTAGCTCTTATGCTCAATATTTTGTACAGTAACTGAGGTTCTGTATCTTAATTTTTCAAACTTTTCCCTGCAGCCGCTTTGGCCAGTCAAACTCTCTCCCCACCTCTGGCTGTGTCGGCAGCGTGTCCGCCAGGAGGAGCCTTCGGCAGTTCCAGATGCCCTCCAGGAGCTTGCCTGGTGCCAGGCTGGGCCTGCTGGGCAGTGGGGGGCTGCTTGGACCGACACCTCGCAGCTCCAGCAGCACACCAACTGGTCCCAAGCAGGGGAGACAGGTGAGTCAGACCAGTAGAAAGTTATGCTATCCATGAGTACATGCTCATGGATAAATGTTTAAATACAGTGTTTGAAGATGTTTGTTTTGGCTCCTTTTTTGGCACGAAAAGATCATCTTGCGGTTGTTGTTAATTGGCTTGATTGAAATGCTCAGTCATCTTTTTAAATATAATGTTTCTTACATCTTCAATCTGTTTGGTGAAAAAGTCAGATGAGGATCGATATTTCAATTTTTCTCCTCAAAGCCGTGTGAATAAATGTTCACTAAGACAGGAAACCTAGAGCTAAGTGTGTGTGTGTGTGTGTGTGTGTGTGTGTGTGTGTGTGTGTGTGTGTGTGTGTGTGTGTGTGTGTGTGTGTGTGTGTGTGTGTGTGTGTGTGTGTGTGTGTGTGTGTGTGTGTGTGTGTGTGTGTGTGTGTGTGTGTGTGTGGTGACTGGATAGCAGTGGTGTTCGTGACTGTACAAAGGAACATTTGGAAATGTGAAATAATACATTCCAGGATGTTTACAATAACCTGGGCAGCAGAATTCCTTCTTCAGCACGTATTCAGCCTGAAATAGACTTTTTTATTCCATGACCAAAAAATGTGGGGTGAGGAAGAGGAGCAGCGTGGGTGTTTGGCCAATGAAGCGAGGTGGATGGAACTCGTAGGCAGGTCACCCCACATACCAGAGGCCCTGCGTCAGTGCCGAGCTCTGAAACAGGAGGAGCTGTGGAGCTGTTTCAGGCCCGTCCTGGCAAACTTGTCTGACTGACCCAGTTCATTGGGAATCTCTCTCTCTCTCTCTCTCTCTCTCTCTCTCTCTCTCTCTCTCTCTCTCTCTCTCTCTCTCTCTCTCTCTCTAACTCTCTCTCTCCTCTCTCTCTCTCATCCCTTACAATTGTAGGAAATACCTCTGTCCCTCCTCCTCCTCACCCTGAACCATCTTGTGTGGGACTGTAGTGTGGATTTGTAGAGGGGGAGAAGGAGGGAGGGAGGGAAATATGTGAGTCATAGTTTGGGAGAGGTAGCTGTGGTGTTGGAGGAGGAGGGGCAGTTGGAGAGAGAGAGGGAGAGTGTGTGTGCGTGTGTGCGAGAAAGAAAGAGTGAGGGAGCCAGTCAGAGGCAGTGAGAACAGTGCACAGGCATTTCCTGTTTTTCCCTGGCCCGTGGCATTGGAGGGCCGCGAGGAGGGGGCGGAGTGGGAGAGGTGAGGGGAGGGGGTTTGCGGTGGTGATGTTGGGGGGTATAATAGGCAGGTTACAGTGAGGAATTCATGTGGCGAGCGTCTGAGACTGTCATTTGTTGTGGGCCAGACATCCAGACAGGAACAGTTGAAGAAGTTGTGATCTTGATGTTACGCAACTTTTTTGTTAAGTCTGCACTTTTCAGTTTGAAGTTTGAAAACAATGACGTAAGGGGCGAGCTAAAGTCAGAAGAGAATCTTTCAGCTTGAAATGTGTCCACCAATCTGTATAAAAAAGTCAAACATACAAGATAATTCAGATGTCATAAAGAACTCTAAAGCTGGTGGTCTTCTATTCAGAGAGTATGAACATGCTCTCTATTAAAGGGTTTATAAAAAGAAAACTATATTGTGTTTTACTGTGCAAGGGAAAACTCAGAAACAACAAAAAAAAGACCAGCACTGCCCATGTTTCTCTGTGCGGGTAAAAAGGATGGAAATCAAAGCAAATACAGAATAATTAACAGAAGCTTCATGAGGTTTGGGTCTCTGGACTTCTCCTACACACAAGCATACATTCAACTATGTTTTGCACCCTACAAAATTTGACATGTCATTGTGCTTTGTATAATAAATATAGAGCACATTATGTTTACTTTCCAGTACAAAATTTATGTTCAATTTGATCTGAGTCAAAATCAAATGAGCTTGAGTTTTAATATCTAAGAAATAAACGTTGGAGATGACTTGATCATGTTTGTTCCTGCATTGGTCATTTGAATACAATGTCTGTTAATTCAGGACAGTCATGTCATTTTTAGAGCAGAATCTGGCATGTTATGTGTTGTTGTATAAAGTTGTATTTTAAAAATGATGACTTGTGTTGGGATGAACTGAGTATTTTTTTATCAAATTGGATGAACAGCAAAATGACTGAACTGACAAAGAAGAGGGGATTTGAGAAATTATTTTTAATGTCTGATGATTGCGAACATAACCGTGACACTTGTCCTACAGAGGTGACATATTCATGTTATTTTATCATTCTCCTCCTCAGGGTCTGTGGTTTGCAAACCCAGGAGGAAGTAACAGCATGCCCAGCAGGACCCACAGCTCCGTGCAGAGGACTCGCTCCCTGCCAGTTCACACCACGCCACAAACCATGGTCATGTTTCAACAGACAGGTAAGAAACACACAAAATCACAAACACACAACACTGGCATGAGGTGACAGATGTAGCTGATGCTTTAAATGATTTGCTTACACAGACAAAACAACACAAGGAGTATGCCTTGTGTTTTGAAAAGTTCCGCTCGATATTCCGTTATCTAAAGGAGTTCAGCACAGAATCAGCAGCAAGCAGCTGAACATTAACATTTTTAAAACGAAGCCATGAGAAGCTTCAGTTTTGATATGAGCAAGGCTCTTCAACCAGTGCATTTACTAGAGGGATGAACAGACAGTGGACCTTCTCTCTCTGCTTTTCTCTGAAGCTGATGTGATTCTGCTCTCTTGTTTTCGCTGTGTCCTCTCCGCAGTAGTCGAGAGGGACGTTTTGCTATGTTGCATGGAGCCGTAAGGTCCTCATGCACGCCTGCACGCTCTCTCTCGCACGCTCTCTCTCTACCCGTTCTTCCTCTCGCTCTCTCGTGCATGCAGCAATTTTAGGAATAGATGAAATCTTAAATAAAAACAGGTCGGAAATATACGGTACTTAGGCGGCCCGCCCAGGTATCGCCTATGTGTGGGAAACACTGACATTTATTCAGCATTTCCTCATTTGTAAGTACAATTTCTAAACTTAGGGGCTGTGTAATCACCTTTTGACCCCTAAAAGCCCCCCCACTCAAAGTGTCCACACAGGCTCAGGTCATGTAATCCAACAGTGCCAGACAGAATGACCTGAAGTAACCTCTGCTGACTGGACTTTGTCCCGTAGGAACAGTGGACCGTAATCAGACAAGCTGGGACTTCCTCTGCTCCGTCACACACAAACACACCAGAAGAAATGTCCTCTTTTTAGAATGAAGAGGAAAAACAGATTTGAAAAAAGCAGGAGGGAAGTTGGAGGGAGAGTGCAGACTGTATGTGAGAGGAAGAGACGACGAGAAGCAGGGAGGGAGGAAAGAGTCAGTGTCTCACAATGAAGCTCTTTGTGCAGCTGGTACATGGCTCTCTGGCCCACTTTCCTCCCCTTCCTTCTCTCACAGAGTTTCTCTCTTTCTTTACTTTTTCTCAAGCCTCCATCTCTGTGACTTTGACAACTGTGCAGAGTCATGCACTCGGGGCAGTCACTCTTGAGGGCGGTTCTTGCTGGGTTTGGGCCTGAGTGACTGATTTGAAAGGCTAGTTTACCCCTACCCTACTCCGTCTCTCTGCCAACAGATGGATAAAGAAACTTATTAGGTGACGCATAGCAGAGACAAACTGGATGAAGGAACAAGTGTGTACAGTTTCCTTCAGTGTGTGTGTTGTGTTGCTGTAGTCTGTGTGTGCAGGGGGTGGAGGGGTGTGTGTTGGGCGGATTTGGAGCCTATAAATAGCCCAGTGTGGACTACTGGGCCTAACTCAGCTTTTCTCTCATGCCGCAAGAGATTTTCACGGCCCAGCCCGTGTGAAGACCAGACTCAGGACTAAACTGCTACAAGGGGTTGCTAGGCTACACCCCCCCCCCCCCTGCAAATACACACACTCCCCCCTCCAACATCAACATAACCCTTTTCAAAACAGACTTCACACTGCTCACAAAAACAGCAACATTTAAGTTGAATACATGTGATTAGCATCATTTAATAATCAACCGTTTCATGAGAATAATAGTGTTTTCAGCCACTTAAACTAAAGCCACTTAGGCCCCGTTTCGGCCAGCATCTTTTTTCAATGAGCAGAGAGCTTTTGCAATAGAAAGTGGTCGCTTTGAGAAGAAGCGCAGCACCAACTGTCTTTTTTCTGATCGCTCGGCCTAGTTTGTGCAGCCGTTCCGAGCGATCTTTCAACTTTTCAGAAAGGCAATGTTGTTATCACCGGCGCCCTTTTTGCTAATGTATGATATTCCCTGAATTTCATCTATGGCTCTTGTCTTGTACCCACTTCCTCTTTGCGCCGTGTCTGGTCGGGAAAACTTACAGTAAAAAAAGTAACTGAGCCGTGTCGGTCATACAGCGGACCTGGTCAACAGACTGTTGTCATAGAGACAGGACGTGCAGAGCTTTTCTTTTTCAGCACACAAACACTTCATGCAGGCGCTCCCGAAGGCACAGCCAGTGCTTTTCTGTTGTCTGGCTCACCTGTAGATAATAAGATCATCCCTTCATATTATTGTTCTGTATTGTTGTGTTAATTAATGAGAAAATACATTATTAGGTAATGGTGGTAGGTCATTATAATTAGCTACTTTATTTGTCTGTATAGTAAACATTTCTTCCAAATCCAGCCTGTCCCACTTCACACAGACATGCACCCACGGATCCTCAGAGACAAACGATCATGCCCCTGTGTCAGCCGTGCAGTCTTTGTTTTGATGTCGCGCGTGTCACAGTTAACAGTCAGCTATAATCTGACCACTGAGGCCACACTCTGGTTGAGTGGACCACATTGTTCCAGTAAACTGATCTGAATTCATTTCTTTTGTCCTTCGCCAACTTCTCTGAAGCTGAGTTCTTGAAAATGGGATGTGGGGAGGGGGGGGGTGTAAGGATTATCATGCTTGTGTTTAATTAGGATCAAAGGCTGATCAGGAGTGTGTAGAGTTATTGTCTAACTCAGCTTTTCAACACTTAATAAGAAACTGGTGTGGTGCATACTTTCTGCCATGAAGAGCATTTGCTTTAGGAATAATGTGATTCAAGTTTTATTCATTGGCTGAACCTGCCGTGACCATCATCAGGATTTTATAATTCATCTGTTTGATATAAATATCATTTGATCACTGATACTGATGTAGCTTCAAATCTGTTTTTCTATCTTTACAGATCTTCAGTTACCGGTGACGGAGCCAGACATCAACAACCGCCTTGAGTCTCTGTGTCTGAGTATGACAGAGCACGCCTTGGGAGGTAACACCCACTGCTTTATTATATTATTATTACACTGAAATGTACAGTTCATCCAGAGATGGAACCTCATCCTGTCTTTGATCATACAGGGGATGTGATGTTTCAATGTGGTTCTTCACACGACTCTGAACACGATTATCACGTTGTCCAGGTTTCTGATGATAGTGAGTTTCAGACACACCGCCACAGGGAGCAGTCTCTCTTCCTGTTGTACCAACTGAGTTATCGCAGCCTCTGTGGTTCCTGGCTGCCAAGGCACGATTTAATTCTGTTTGTATGTTTTATCTCAAGGTGTCTCGAGAAATCGTTTGTCAGAACTGTTTTTTTTTTTTTTTCAATCCATGAAGAGCCGTGAGCCACAAAGCGTTCTGATGTTGTTTTGTTCAGTTGTCTCAGCCTGTGTTCAGACTGATAAATATCAGTGTTTCTTTAAGCTCTGTTTACAATAACAGACGCTGTCCCGGACTGAAGAGACACAGCGACTGTCCGAGACAGAAATGTATTAGTAGACCAAAATCTTGTGTGCACCAAAAGGGGCCCAATGATGACTGACAGCTCAGCCTCTCCTTAGTCAGCTGTGGCATAAGTGCATATTTTTACTACAATGAAGTGCTTTACTCAAATTACAAATTGTGACAAGTTAGGAATAAACAGGGAAAATACAGTACATGTAAAAAATGCCTGGTCTTGAAAAGGAAGAAAAATGTATCTGTTGAAGGAGCTCAGTCTTCTGGGTGTCACTAAACTTTTTTATAGAGTTAACTCACTCCAATAAGACAGATCAGTCCCTTTGCAAGACCATAACATTTATCTGTTTCTGCATTGACTGTGTAAGAAAAAGTAATTTATGAAGACTTGAAAATGCTAATGTACAAAGAAAACAAAACAAGAAGGAGAAGAGGACTTTTGAGTCTGTCAGCATAATACTGAAGAGGACGTGGCCTTTCTCATCAGTCAGTCAGTCACTGACCTAAGCAAAAAAAATCTCATGTACAGTGAATTTTAGTCTGGGTTAAAGTCAGTGCCAACTCCCCCCATCCCAAAACTCGACTGAGGTGGAGACAGTGGGCCTCAGTGCTCAGAACAGAACGGTGGACAAGTGCTGCTTTGTGTGTGTGTGTGTGTGTGTGTGTGTGTGTGTGTGTGTGTGTGTGTGTGTGTGTGTGTGTGTGTGTGTGTGTGTGTGTGTGTGTGTGTGTGTGTGTGTGTGTGTGTGTGTGTGTGTGTGTGTGTGTGTGTGTGTGTGTGTGTGTGTGTGGAGTTGGTTGTGTGTTAGGTGGAGAGCAGAAGGAAGGAGTGAGTAAATGTGGAGAAACTCCCTCCTCATCGGAGTTTTGCCTTCCGCTTGAATTTTGCCCTCAAACATTCAGCTGTCTGTGTTGAGGTTTAGGAACAGAACTTGGTCACTGAATCAAACCAGCGACATGAAATGACCCAAAACACAATGTTTGATGTGTATGAGCTAGAGACAGGATTGTTGATGCTCAGTAATGTATCCAAATGAACTTGGAGGATTGCCTTGTACTGATGGTATATTTTGTCCTATTTTAAGTATTTACACTCTTGAGATTTAGTGTTTTACTGACTAATGAAAATGTTCAGACTGCAGACTACTGAAATATAAACTGGAATCAGAAAAGATTTGGTTTGAGCACACATCCTTCTGCAACCAAAGCTGCATCCTGGGAAAGGCACATCCCAGGTTGAGTCTAATCATTTCAAAGAAATACACAAAATAAGTATTTTCAACTTCAACAACAGCGCTTGATAGTAACATTTTTAGACGTTTGTCAAGCGCTAAAACACAGTCTAATGTCTAGTAAGGTCTAACAATGTTACGCTAGATCAGTCTAAAATATACTTGGCCTCACTTGACATATACCTGCACATTAGCAAAGTCTGTAGGGACTTGGGTTGGGAACCGGAGGGTCCCCAGTTCATGTCCCGGTGCAGACCAAATCTGGAAATTGATCTAGTAGTTGGAGAGGGGTTAGTTCACATCCTGAGCACCCTTGAGAAAGGCACCAGGCCACTAATCTCTCCATTAGTGCATGTCCTAGGATCCTGTTTGTGCATGTGTGTATATTTTAGCCTATGTGGAGACTATGTGTGTCTCAACAACAGAGTGTCAAGTTGAATTTCCCCTCGCGGGATTAATAAAGTATCTCTTCTTCTTCTAACTTACAGTTTAAGTCAGTTGGTTAATACTTGATTCTTGTTTGATAGTCAGCTAACACTGACATTAATCTGCCCTTTCAGTTTCACGATGAAGGCTTTATGTTTGTGGAATAAAAATGTCCACCAGTGCGTAGCCTGATAACATTTCCCTCTGCAGCCACACCAGAGGCAACAGCTGTCAGACTGTTGTTTCCCTCTGAACGCCTCCATCACTATTTTGACAGATGTGTTGTTCTCTCGTCATGACAGTGTGGGCTCCGGCCCCTGACTGTTCATCAAGTCAGACGAGCTTCAGGCCCTCTTTACAAACAGTTCATGGCACACTTGGATCACTACTACTCTTCAAATCAGATAAAAGTGTATTTGTTACGTTCTTAAACACTTTGTCGTCAAACATGTTTAGGGAAGAATTTCATTTAATTAACGAAGAATCAAAACAGTTTAAGAATATATTAAAATAGCTCATTTAAGAGCTCTTACTGAAGCTTTCAGAGTCTTTATTTCACCTAACTCTTCCACTTTTCTTTTCTCTGCTGTTCCTGTGTAGACGGTGCAGACCGCACATCGACAATATGAAACGAGGACCTGAGTGAGAGCAGCAGGACAGCGCCAGTTCACGAGGCTCTCTCATGACAAGTCACCTCGAGGTCACCAGCTCCTTCTGCCCCCTCTCCCTGTAGCCAACGGCAGAGCTCAACCAAAGGATCGGGGCCGGAATCAACACAAAGGAGCCAACCATCTCACGGCTAACAAAAGCTACAACATCGGGACCGTCCATCGTGGTGTACAAACACACTTCCTGCTCTGTCAGCATGCTCACCATCACCTGCATCTGTGTGGGGGGAGAGACAAGCTTCAAACACGGCCTGGACAGTGTGTAAACAGCGCCATCCTCCCAGGGAGGCCAAAAGCAGCACTGCAGTCCGATCAGAAAGGAGAGGCTGGTTCGCTAATCAAGGCCCAGTGGGGCTGAGGGCCTTTCCCTCTCTAACACCTTTTGGTCCCCGCACATCGATTACAGTACCTCAGACCCTGAACAAGACAACAAAGCAGAGTTATACTGACACAGTGTGCGGTTTGAGGTTTCCTTTCAGTGAGGACTGAGCGACAGAGCACAAAGGAAGGCCTCTGGCTCAGTATCGGGTGGGGGAAAAAAAATCATTTATTTGTATTGTTTGTATTTATTGTTTACATAATGATGCTACTTTCAAAGGGTACAGAAACATGGATGAATTTCAGGTATGAAGTGTTACATATTCTGTAAGGCCTCGGCTTTTAAACCAGCTTTACGCCCCCATGAGTAGTCATCAAGCTAGTTTACAACCAACGTGCTTATTCTTTATTTCAGCAGCAGATGACGACAAAGACGCGTCTGCTCCAACATTGACCACCAGAAAGAGAGGGAGCAGAGTCAGCGAGAAGGAGGGAGAGCAGAAGTTTGAGGAGGGATAATAAGAGGAAGGAGCTGATGTAGGAGAAAGACACAGGAAGTAGCTGAAGAAAGAAAAGAGTTGAAGTGATAAAGGAGAGGGAAGCGGATGTTTAAAGGAGAAAGACTTCAGAGGCAGGACCTCTGATGAGCTGAAGAGGACAGAGGAAGATGATGTCATGACCCAATCATATTGTAAGTCTGTTCATGTGAGTAAGTGTAGGAGGAAGGGAATTTGGCACCGGTCAGTTACATATTGTTTCTCCATAGCATGTACTGTATGAACTCTTTGTATTCAGAGCCTTTGTAGGCACAGTGTAGGTTTTTATATGAGATACACACAGCTGTATCATCAGTGGGATTTGTCTGCATGTTCAGATGTTGGGTTGAGTTATTTTTCTACAGCAGGGTGATGTGCTGAAGCTGCATGTTACAACTAAAAAAAGTTTTTTCTTGTGGAAAAGGAAGATTGTGAAATGACGAGTGGCAGTCTGAATAGGAAGGCGATCTAGTTTCCACTCAGACTGTGCTGCTGAGAGGATTACAGCATTAGAGAAATCACACACTGTCAATCCATGAAGGGGAGATTTCCCAGAGATTGTGTCGTTAGTGCTTACCTCCACCTGCTGGTCAAACGCAGTCATGACAGGAGAATACCATGCAAACACAGGCTGCCAGTGTTACATGGACTTGTATCTGTCCTGTATGTGCAGGCCTACATGGGATTTATTTTCATTTTCAATTTGGAATCTCATGGTTATTCTGTGTCTTAATATTTATCCTCGGTTTATTTTGTCTGTTGGAAAAAAAAGCAGGTCAGGAAATGGTTTGCTTCGAGTCCTGACCTCGACTTCTCGTCAGTGAAGGTTACTGATTATTATTGTTTAGTTTCTTTATTATAGTTTGTTGCAATTCAGTAGTACTTTCTTTGTATTCTGCACTTGATATTATTATGAAACACTAAAGTCATCCAAATGTTCACGGCTCGAAGCTACAGTTGAGTGCTTTGGAGGGAGATGAAACGTATACAGATCGACTGTAGAGCTGCAGATGTAGAGAGCACCAACAGGTGGGAATGTTGACTCCTGCAGCAGAGAAAAAAAAAAGCTGCTGAAGCCTTTCACATTGATCTCTTCTGTTTGTCTGACGGTGGATACCAGAGTTAGAAAAACTCTCTGTAATCATCACATGGAGTTAAAGAAGCAACATATGTGTTTCTACATGTTTTACCCTCTTTACTACAAACAGAAAACACACATCATAATAACTGACTTTTTCTTTTTACTATGTTTTAAGTTTTTAATTTCCGGTTCAGAATAACTCACATAGTCATATAGACTCCCTGCAGTGGAAAGAAAGCTCTTCTCTTATACTAATGAAAGTCCAGACTTCTCAGTGTTCACATCTCCTAAAGAAGATGAATGAAATGAACAGGCCTGTGAAACCTCTGATTCATACTAAAACAAAGGTTTTACTACCAGTTATATCACACAAACTGTGATATAAAACACTAAAACACTCACATACACCTAAAGGTCAGGCAGCAGTGATGCTGTCAGTGTGTAACTTTAGTGAATGGGTGAAAACATGCAGAAATACTGTTATGGTTCCTTTGACTGTCTCAAACAGCCGTCTGTCTTCATCGGTGAAATGCAGCTTAAGATGCAGCGACTGAGGCTTCAAAATGCACTCAGCTGCACACACACACACACACACACACACACACACACACACACACACACACAAACACAGAGGTGGTGTGTCGAGCTGTGTTGGGGTTTTCTTTGCTCTCAAACTGTGAGAGCCAATCAGGCGTCATCTGTACGTTTTGTAAACAAAGTTGAAGACTCCTCCTCCAAAGCGAGAGTGTGACATCAGAGCGTATAGATCCTGAACCAGGATGAAGATGTTCACGCTGAAGCTGTTTGCTGAAGCAGCTTCAGCATCTCCTTGTCACAAGGAGACTGTTTCAGTGTCACTGCCATGAATCAGTACTTAAATTTGATACAATTATTTATTTGTTGTTTTTTTTTTTTTTCAGAGGCGATACTTTAACTCATTTAGGTGTATTATTATTTAAAGTACCATATGTATTAACATGTTATGGCTGGTGACCATACGTACATCTCAATTATTAACATAGTTATTGTCGACTTTATTTTTTTGCCGTTGTTGATCTATAACCTTTGTTTCTGTCAGTGTCATGTTGAGATTTTTCATATGAAGCTTTGCGGTCGGAGCGGAGCTGAGAGCGGCAGCCGATCCTTCACGGCTTCATCAGTCGAGTCAGTTCCCGTTCTTTTTAGAGGAGCGGGTCTGCAAACAGGTCAGCAGAGCGATGTTGTTTCAGTCTTTGGCAGGCCAGGAAGTAGACTGGTCCATTGTGATCTCGAGTCTAAACTTGGTGCTTTTGTTGTGTTACCAGCTTTGTCTGCAGCCCTGAGTGGGAGAGGCTGATATCATAGGTTTGTTATTTTTAAAGGGTGACGTCGGTAGTGTTGAATGTTTTTATGACTGTCAACAAATCCCATGAAAATACCGAATTCATCATTGTTTGTTGTTTTCATGGGATTTGTTTATATGAGTAAAATGAAATCACATCTGCAGACACATCCCTGAAACATGTTTGATATCAGCGGTGAAACTGATGAAACCTGCAGTCAGATATGAAATCAAAGGGATTATTGGAACTGTAGTTTTTATTTTTGCAGTATTTTTTTTAATTATTTTTTTAAAACTTTCATATCATGGTGCCATGTTTGAGCTCTAAACGTCTTCTGGAGTTGTGTCCGTGCCGCATTTTGTACAAATACTCACTGACAGTGTTCAATAACCCGAGTTCATGTGATTTTTCTAGACGACATAACAAGAGTCGAGCTTCATGTTTTTGTGTCGAGAGTTTGAATGGACAGTGCAGGCCTCCAGTTTGTTCTCCTGCAGCGTCACCGGGTGAACACAGAAAACTCGCCTGTGACGGGACATTCACCCCCGACGTCTGTATCATTACTCTCCTCTTCAAACCAAATGCTTTGTTTTGATTTTCTCTGAATGCGTATGATCTGTGCGAGCGTTCAGGAGCGCTCCTAACGCCGTGCACACCGCAGTATTAACAGTTAGATAACGCCTCGATATTCCAAAAACATGTAATGTACTTTAAGTTGACACATTTATGCTGTTTTATATCTTTTCTTTTTGTCATAGACTCTGCAGTTTAGTCTGTTTATGTCATTATGGGATGCCAAGACTTTTGTTTGTTTGTTTGTTTGTTTTTGTAAATTCAGCAGCATTTTGTAACAAAGTGTTACCGCTTGACTGTGCTCCGTTATTTCACTTAGTTTTATTTTATCAAAGAGCCGATGTCCTGTATTGACTGCAGGCTTACGTATATATTTGACAAAAGAATATTGTATGTTTAATAATAAAAAAACACACAAAAAAGACAAAAAGAAAAAAGAGAGCGTTGGAAAAAAAGTGTAATTTATATTTTAAACCTGCATGCACAAGGCTGGGAGAGTCGTGTTTAGAATAACAAATGGCAGTGCCTTTTTTTGTACTCGAGACGTTTCAGCCCAGATGTCAAAATGGTTTTATATGGATTGAAAAAAAAAAAAAAAAAGCTGTCGTGTTACAGGATGAAACTAGTGACTGCTGCGTCAGGTCGCGTTCATGCTGCAGCTTGAAGTGTTCTCTCGTCTCTCGGAGAGTTCTTTAGCTCTTAGTTCACAAACATTTGATGTGTGTTTGGTCATATTTTTGATTTTGGTTTCATGTCACCGAGCTGAGCACTGTGAGGAGGATTTAAAGATCATTTCTATTTTTTTATTTAGGGAGACTTCTTAAATTCCCCATAGTGATATTTACTCCTTGTCTCGGTCGATCAGTGTCACATATAGGACTTCAAGAAAAAATGACTCCAAGATTTTAGACTATTGTCCCCATGGGGTAATTCCTCTTCACAGCACCGTCTCTGTCCAAACAGACGATTTGAATCAAACAGAGTACAGTCCGTGCTGTGTGATTTATTCACAACTAGTTGGGCAGAAAAAAGGTCCCAACATGAATCCATCACCAGTCCCTTCGAGCACAGCTGATGCCAAAAAATATTCAGGTTACATTATTTCCACAGAGGACAAGTGATCCTAGATGTGCGAGAACGTTTGACCTTTAAAAACCTTTTAATTTGCCAAAAATGTTGTGCCCCCTCCACCCCCCCCCCCCCCCCGTGACCTGATTATGTAGAAAGTGCAGATCTGATGTTACAAAGAGGACTCAGATAACGAGAAGTCACGACTGATCCAAAGTTTTGCAACCTTTCTACAGAGTCAAAACGATAGTTGTATTTAAAAGTGTTCTCGTTGAGGAAACGTTTCAAGTCAAACTGAAATCTGGATTTGATAAGCGTGGCGGCGGCGGTGTGAACATGACCGGCGGCTGTGAACTCAGTCTGATGTGTGTGCACTCTGTAGGTACTTCTTATTGCTGATATGAAGTTATGAGTTATTGTGGTCTGTATCAAACGGTGTGAATGAGCGTGTGACAGTGAAGAGTGTTTGTTTGAATACATTCAAGTGTTTTTTTTTTTTGTTTTTTTTCAAAGTGTCTTGCTGTAATTTTGTCGCGACGTACCAGAATGCTGTGACTTGGCATGCCCCTGTTATACATAAAAAAAAAGTTGTAACTCCTCCCTTTGAGTGTGGATTTTCTTTTTTTGCAGAAGGGATTCACAATTATTTTTACTTTATTACGTATTTTTTAATTTTAACTCTGCACTGAAGATCAGCATGGAAAAGAGCCCGCAGATCGGACTTGAACCTGGGACGCCGGCTTGGAAGACAACAGCCTCTGTACATGGGGCGCGACCTAACCGCTAGGCCATCTGTGTCCCAAAGATCTGCAAGTTTAACATGGATTTCAGTTTAAAGCAACATTATGCAAGAATTAGTATTTTAGTGATTTTGATCCCGAAAGTTTAAGTTTATTATCTCTCTGCTTGCTTGGTCTGTTTGTCTTTTTTCTCCCTTTTTAGTTGAGGTGCTCGTCAGTCTCTTCACCAGCTGCCATGATCACCATACTGAGAACGCTCAGCCATGACCAAGGAAGGGAGGTGTTGGGATCTTTACCAGAAAGTTGACCATTACTCAGCCAGGAGACTGAACCCTGAAAGAGCAAGAACGGGCGTTTGGGGTGCAGCAGGAAGGGATGGAAAGATGTGATCAGAATGATTTTAAAGCTTTTCTCTTAAGGTCTAATAGGTAGACAGTGTTGTTTTTAGTCAGTATTTTGCATCATAGGAAACAACTTCAGCATCTGATGTACCTCGAGCATCAAATTAGGCCCTGAATTTTGACCAAACAGGAAGTAAAATTCATCAAAAAAAACATGTAGATATGGACAAAATATTTAATCAAATTAAACGTGCACACAGATGTCTATTAGCTGTGAAAGCCAAACCAACATTTATATTTCTTATCTTTGGAGGAGCCACTCTGTTGATGAGGCCTAAGGCGGGACAAAACATGCCCTGGCTCAGAAAAAAATCTCTGAACATCATTTCACAGAAACTGTGTCAGCTGTTTAAATCTCTGAAATCTGCTTTGTGGTTATTTTTTGAGTTATAATCAGAAAGTAAGTGTTTATTAAGGGTTATGCCATAGACTGTGAATAATAACTCTTCATACAGGTTATGGGTTATGCACTATTTTCAGCCACAGTGTCTTTCTCGTTATGACCACTAGAGGGCCTCAAAGTAACAGACAGAATTAACTGATTTAAAAAAAACAGGTTTTGTCAAAATCCAACAAAAAAAACAACCTGTGGATCACTGGGAGGAACAATATGTACTGATGCAGTGACATGTTTGCCTTCTTAAACGGATCATTTGTAATTTTTTCCTGGCTCAAAGTGCAGTGACAGTAACACTGCATGGAGGGATGCGTTTAAGTTCATCACATCATCTTATGGTTCAAAGGGATTTTCTAGTCTTTTGACTACTCATCGGGCTTTTTACACCGAAGGTCACATCTACACATTCACACACTGATGGGGGTTTCTGTAACGTGTCCATCAGTATTAACTAATTCATTCATGCACTTTCACACACTGCCGACAAAGCAGTGGGAGCAACCTGGGGCTCAGTGTCTTCCTCAAGGACACATCGGGCATGTAGCTGCAGGAGCCGGGGATCGAATCCCAGAGAGACGACCGACTCGTCCTCTGATCAAAAGCCGCCCCGCTAATGTCGTCAGGTGCTCAGGTAACATGAACACAAATGTTTATCAGAAACGTTGAGGTTTGCTGGCAAACGGCAGGGACACACTGCAGACACAAACACGTTTTCAAGGTTTTGTTTGAGTTGGCTGAGTTGAACGTACAGTCTGTTCCCCTGGACGCTGTGGGGTTGATGTTTAAATGAAATGCATGGATGTGAAGTTATAAAACTCTTTTCAGAGCTGCTGAGTCATGCCTCTGTCAGAACTCCAGCCCATGATCGGCTCCATGTCCTGGGCTCAGGGCCAGAGTTTTGGAACCGGGGTTTAGTGCGCCTTCACTTTTTGTTCATGAGTTTTCTACATTTCAGAGAGCTGTAGAGGGAGGAGAGTGATGGGCCTCTGACACACAGCTGTGGACGTCAGGGATCGATCTTCAGCTGGAGGGTAAAAAGGTAACTTCATCACCTTCTGTTTGAGGGAACATCATCACCATGTAGCAACATATACTCATTTTTAAAGATCCTGCATTCATACAAAGACTAAATACATATGATCTTTCTCCATGTTCCTGTAATATGACTCTTACTATAATAACAATGACATATTCCACCTGGTTGAATAAGTTACTTACAGTAGATGAATAAACTCAGGTGTTTACTCAAGTTTGTCTTTTTTCTGATACTTTAATCATTTTAGAGGAACGTTTTACTTTCTTCTCTTCTACCTTCACCTGACAGCTGAAGTTACTTTGCACATTCACAGTAATTATACAACATGAAAATAAAGTAATAAAGCTTGATGTTTTACTTCAGCTTAATATAACATAACTACAATTCTACAATTCACTTAGCAGACGCTTTTATCCAAAGCGACGTACATCAGAGAGTAAGTACAACACAAGCAAGGATCTAGAAAAAAGGGAACAATGTCAGTAAGAGCAAACGATCAGCTTTGAGTCTGATTGGACACACAGGTGCTGACAGGAAGTGACCAGAGGCAAAGCACAACATTTCTGAGAGCTCTAATCAGTATAGAAACCATCTTATAAGTCGTCGTTATTAAACAAAAACCATCTTCATCACCATCTTCATCACCATCTTCATCAATAATATGGAGACCATTGTCATTAAGTTAGTAGGTATTCATGAAAGAGCTGGGTCTTTAGCTTTGAATGTCTGACATTTGCTTGGATGAATTCAGTTTTATTCACAGCAGATTGACAGTTCCAGAGGCCAAAAGTAAATGAAGGGTGGGTAGAAGAGGCTTTCTTAAACAGAGACAAGTTGTTAAGATTTCGTTGTCTATGACAGATGTGTCTTTTCCTGTTCCCATGAATGACAGAGATTTCTTTGTAGCACACGTTGCGTTTAGCAGATGACCAGAGGAAAAAGGCAGAGCAGTAGTCGTGGACGCCCGGGCTCTGTGGCCACGCTGAAGCGTCAGCTTATTAGTTTTCAGATCAGAGCTTGTTCTGCTCAGTTTCACATTCAGACTCTTTTAAACTTGGATTTTCGTGAAAATCCCGCCCCAGATTTTCAGCTTGCAATCAACAGAGGGTGTGACACGCGTCAACTGCCTCTCCTGTTGATGCTCAGAGAATGAAACGTAAGTGCTCAGTCCAATCAAAGCCGGACAACGACCCACTATCAATATCTACTCAAAGCAAGCTTCGATTCACCCACCTAGCTCGTTCTCAAACCCTTGTGTTTGTTTGCCCGCACTCAAAGCTCATCACCGATGTCGGAGTCTGTACTGCGAGTTCACTTACCGCTGAATGAGACATGAGACGACGTAGTTTCTACTCAGTGTAGGCGATGAAATGAGGTCGCTTCTGGAGCAATGGCGCTCTCTCATGTAAGTTAGGGGGCGTGGCTTTTGAAGGAGCACAGAGGGGAGGGGTTGGGTTTAGACGGAGCACTGAGGAAATGCTACTTTCAAAATCATGCTAGTTTTAGAACATTGCCAACCCTGCCTTTAAATGTGGCCGTGATCCGACTCCTGTGAGAATCCACATGAAGTGATTTTTGCCGTTCACACTGTCTTAAAATCAGATGTGAGTCACAAAGGAGCAAAAGAATCAGATTAAGGTCACTTTTGGCTGCAGTGAGAACAAAGCTTGATTCATATACACACAAAAAACCTGGTACTACTGTTAAAGAACTATTTCCACTATTGAAAGAGACAGTATTTACTTATATAAATGGAAGTAAACTCTTAACTCGAGTTCAAGAAAATAAAAAATTGCATAAAAAATTGCATTATTGCTTGTCTAAGGTGTGTTTCTATAGGGTGTAACAAAGGATTAAAACAGCAGGTCGATTGGTTTAATATGTGGACTTTACGGAGTTAAATTAGTTTGAGTTTGAAGTGAAGAAACACACACACACACAGACACACACACACAGAGATCACTGTCACATAGAGATTTATTCAACTTGATTAAAAAGTATTTAAAATGAACACAGTACATGAAGTCACTATGATTGAAGGGCCAAAGAAACAGGCCGTCCTTCTTAACAAGGCCACAAAAAACATCATCAGAGCAGGTTGTTAGTGCTCCTCTTCCCTCCAACAAACACACACACACACACGCGCGCGCGTACACACATATACAACACACACACACACACACACACACCCATGACTCCAGTAACCAATTTAGACGATTAAAAAGTTCTTCAAATCAGTCTGGGGACATTATGACGTAGTTGAATGCTAAAACTAAAGAAACACAGTCACTAAACAACGCGCACACGCACACACACACACGCACGCACACACGCACAGTTTTTGTGTCTCATGTCGATCCAAGTCTTTGAGGATTTTAAATTGAGAGGCAGGTTGGCACACAGGTCAATTCTTACACATAAAGTGAATACTTGTAACTTAAAGAATAATTGTAAACTTTGAATATTAAAATAAAAAAATGAGAATACTGGTTGTTCATGATTATTGGTAAATTCTGCATTCTGCAAGGGCTGACACTGAAGTCATTGTCATTATATCTCTTTGCTTTTCACTTCTTTTATGACTCTTCTATTAGCTGTTGTGTCTTTTGAAAAAGAGGGAAATGATCACAGCGTCCTGGTCTTCAAACAGCTTTGAAATGTCAAAACTCTCAAATATCAGGAGTCAGAATATCAAACTTTAACTGAAACACTTCTTCGCTTAACTTCACTTTTCCCTGGAGCTCCTGAGCTGTCATGTCTTGTAGGTTCCTCGGGGTCGTTGGTGGATCCCATCTTCCCATCTCCCTCGATCCCCATTTTTCAAGCCTGCCGCAGTTTTGGCAGATGGCTGTGCATCATGAGATTTCTGCCTCTTAAAATGAACTTTTGTTCTTGCCACTTAAACTTTACTGTTGTCTCAGTTATCTTAACAGAAACACAAGAAATTCTCTGGTGAAATTGTGTCTTCATTTCTCTCATTTCACGTCTGCACAAACAGAAAGTTTCTACAAGTTTCTCTTTGAGAATCTGGCTGAGGACTTCTTAGTTCAGAGTTTCTTACTGAGATGATTTAGATGTTTATCTGTGCTGATTGTTTATTCTGTTTTCAGTGTGAAAAAAGCTTCTCTGTTTTTGAAATATTTCTCCACTTGACCAAAGAAATCTTGATCCTTTTATCGGCTAACTCCACAAATAGCAGCTAATTACACTAATGGAGCGATTAGCCACAAAATCAGCTTCATGAACTCAGTTATTTATCTGCACTTTGCGAGCTGTGAACCAAAGTGGAGTCTTTGTTGGAGGATGAATGATTTTGTTGTTCAAGTTCAGAAACAAAAGGAAGACTGATCAGTCAGCACACCAGAAGATGTTTCATGTCTCCTGAGGTAAAACTCAGAAGTAGCGGACGAAGCAACAGAGTCCGCTATGCGATGCTATAATGAGAAAATTTGTCTTACCATCAATGCTACATGTAGTTCAATGGAATCACAATATGAAGAATGTCATGAATTTGGCGCTGTACACATAAAGCTTGAATGATTGAAAACTCTGACAGGATGATTTCCTTTTTGTTTACTTACTTTATGTTTCTATGCGTGGCCTTTGACCTTATCTTAACCTTTTCTGAAACCTGTTTTTATAAACGACTATTTCCTCTGTGCTCATATTTAAAAGCAAACACGAGTAAATATGACTACACCTGATAAAGACAGCTCACTTTCTGACGTGCTTTCAATGTGTTTGTTTTTACTCTCCCTCCCGTACGTTAAGGGCTTATTACCACAAGTGGTTTTCAAGTAATAAATCAAGTCAATAAATCGATGTTTGTATATTTTGGTGGAGTCTTTCTTTCTTTTAAACTCGAATTACGTTGAGTTAGAGGCCAAAGATCGATGTTTAAATTAATGATCACACAGAACAGACGTAAACAAAAAAGAGGGGTAAAGTCCTGTCAGTCATCGTCCTCTGACTCGGACATCACTGAGATAACGACGAGGATTAAAATGATCGGACACTCTTTCTCTCGACTCTCTCACACACACACACACACACACACACACACACACACAAACAGGGTCGCGCAGGTGGAGGTAACGTCAGGCATCGGGCGGAGGAAGAGAAGGAGCTCAGTCCTCCTCAGCTCCTGATCAGCGTCAGAAACTCATCGCGGGTTTTTGGGTCTTCCCTGAAAACTCCCAACATGGTGCTGGTGACGGTTTTACTGTTCATCTTCTGAACGCCTCGCATCACCATACACATGTGACTGTGGAGGCAGAGAGAGAGGAGAGAGAGAGAGAGAGAGGAGAGAGAGAGAGGGAGAGAGAGAGAGAGAGGGAGAGATTTAAAGAACATTTAAAAGAAATCAAATTAAGAAACACGTTGGAGAGGGACGGCGAAAGAAGAAGAGACTTTACATGTAACACAGGCCAAATATTTGACAGTATAACAGGGAGGAGAGGTTCAGGAAAAGAACAGCTGAAACCATAGAGGGAACTAATGAGGGGATGAGAAAAGGCGAGATGGAAGTACAACAAAAGAAAGAGAAATAAAAATAAATATAAAGCATCTTAAAGGTCACATATTCTCCTTTTCATCAAGTTTCAATAAGTAAAAGAGCTCTTTAAAACATGTCTGTGAAGTTTCTTGTTCTAAATCCACTCTGATCATGTAAATAATATACAAAAGACAAAATGGACAAGGGGACAAAGGTGTCAATAAGAAGTAGGAAGGTTAAAGGAAGCGAAGGAGAGGAACGGATTTGTGCAGAGAAAGGGAAAGAAGGAAACGAGGTGAAGGAAACAAGAACAGATAAAGGAAATCAACGACAGTAAACATGGAATCAGTGAAGTGTGTGTGGAGACAGATATCGAAGTGGACGTTCGTACGTTGCCTCGATGACGACGCCGACTCCGGTGGGCTGCAGGGCCTCAGTGATCGCCACGGCAATCTGTTTGGTCAACCTCTCCTGAACTGTGGACAGACGGACGGACGCACAAACATCAAGCAGAGAGCAAACAACACCTCTGAACTCTGGACGCAAAAATGTGGATTAAAACAGGAATCAGAGTGTTATTTTTTTTTTCCTTTGTACCTTGTAGTCGACGGCTGTAGATCTCAACGATCCTGGCGGGGAGAAAAGAGAAAAATGTCAGAGTGTGAAAATGGATTTGAAACAAAGATTTTAAAGCTTTCTCCTGGTCTGAAGAAGGGAAGGATGGGAATGAAGAGATCTGCAGAAACAGCCTCATCTGAACCTTTGACCTGTTGCCCTTCTCGTTGAGTTTAACCACTTTGGACAAATTTAACCCCTTAACCTCAGAGAAAATGTCAAAGGACCAAACAGAGCAGCATGAGGAGCGGAGGAGATACTGTACATGTACATAAAGGAGAAGCAGGGGAAGCTAGAAAAAAGATCAGCCGTTGCCTCTGATGTGACGATCTAGGAAAGGGAAGTGAAAGCTGGATTTTTTTTTTTATCAGAAAAGTCTTTTACATATAGAATTGTTTTTTGTTTATCCTCCTTTGTTCCTGCTGTGATGTCAATAATGATTCTGTTAAAAGTCGCCTTTAAATGACCATACACTGTAAATATTTATGGACCAACCCTGAGTGAGGTCACTGCAGGGGGCTCCGGAGGCTCATCAGCAGCAGCCGCCATGATGGAAATCCTGTCTCAGTCTAACTTTCAGTCAACCTAACGACAGGCTGAGAGCTGGAGCTGAGGCGGGCTTTAAGACATCGAGCCCACCTGTCAATCATGTCAGCTACACGCCTAACTATGTATAACATGTATCGTTCATGCGTTATTAAAAAAAATCACCCCGTACAGAGTGTGCCCGTGATGACAATAACTAATCTTTTTTTTTTTTGTACCAGGCTGTAAACTGCTTTTCGGTGTGTATGTGACTTCCTGTGCGTCCCTTTATTTAAAGCCTCAACTCAAAATGTAAACAAAAAACATGGCTGTCCGAATACGTTACATTTCCTTCAGTTTTGCCATTTTACGATCATATTTTTAGTGTTATTGAAGCACAGTTTCTTTTTTTAAAGACTTTGCTGTCGCTCAAATCGACCTGTAGAGAAACAAACTATTCAGAGTTTTTTTATTCATGCCGGTTTGTGGCAAATCCTAACATTTCCCACCGGGCACAGAGTTTAGTTATTGTCCTAAAAACATGAATGGATCCGCTGTTTTTCGTCTCAGTGTTAGCGTGTGTGTGTCCAGAGAAAGTCCGAGGTGTTAGAGTGATAAGCCTGAAAGTATTGGGGTCAGCGGGATCAGACACCTTTTAATAATCAGCTTAAATGCACACCTGCTCACACACAGACACACAAACGTCCACTTTAAGTTGTCCAATTAAACACAGCGGAGAGAGAGGAAGCACACACACACACACACACACACACACAAAGTCAGAGGAAATGAACCCACCTGGCCAGCTTGCTGAGGCCCAGAACTCTCTTGTTTGGGAGGTAGCCGATGTGAACCTGCAAAATGAGAATAAAAAAAGTGAATACTTAGTAAAGGTATGCAAAGGAGAAGTCCTTTTTAAGTGCATTGACACGTGTTTGACAAGGTGTCCATTATCAGGAGTCGATGAGCGGCCTAAAGGACCAAAATCACCTGAAGTTCGCCATGGTCACGGTGAATACTCTAATCCTATTGGCTGCAGCGTGTCCTTCAATTCCTGACAATGCACACCAATTAATGAAGAAGTTTTAGATCCTGGATGAAATAGATATTTGGCTGTTGATTCCTTTTACGTCTGAAAACGAGCTCTTTGAGAAATTTGAATCCGGCACTGAGACAGCCCTCCTCAAGGTAACTAACGACCTACTTTTAGCTGCAGATCGAGGGGAGGGCGCAGTTTGAAGTCTTCGAGATCTTAGCGCAGCTTTTGCCGTCTTAATAATAGGGAGGGTATCAAGGACTCTTACCTTACCTTTTGGAATGAACCTTTGCGGTCACCAGAGGTAACTACTCCTCCTCTACCTTGAGTGATGTCTGAGGCGTCCCGCAAGGTTCAGTTTTAGACACTCGGCGGTTTTTAACAATTTCTTTTTAGGAAGAAGAAGATGTACTTTAATAATCCGAGAGGAGATATATTCATTTTTTTCACTCTGTTGCTGAAGATGCTCCACACTCATGCACTAATGGAGAGTGAGAGGCTGCACATACAAGAGCGCCCCGAGCAGTCAGGGGTCTGATGCCCCAGCTACAAGACCAAATTCCTAACATTGGTCCATAACCTAAGTTAATTTTTCAACATGGGATGTTGCCACTTGGTTAAAGAACACAACATTTCAGAAATGTGGTGACACGATCAATTGGAAAATATCATCCTCAGTCATTATCCCAGTAAGATATTGTTCAGAATGTGTTTCAGTCAATATAATTCCCTTTATGTTATTGCGAACCTTTCTCTCAACCTAACCAGTTGTAGTTTAGTTAATTCAATCGTTGCATATGCTAATTTCATTAATTCTATAATTTCAAGGCAATTTTACCAAAACACAACAACTGATTTCTTAGAAAATGCAGGTGTGTTTTTTTCTTCTTCCTGAAACGTGTTTTAAGACATGCAAGCTACCGACTGAGCTGCAGATAATGACACACATTCATTTTGATTTTGACCGTCAAGCCGACACAAAACGAAGAAACAACAGAAGCCGAAGATGAGAAAACAGAGCAGGTGGATGAGCAACAGACGAGAGGAGGAAGAGACGGAGTCATCAGCTGGAGAATCACTGCTGGATGTCTGGAGGCTTAAACTCTCTCTCTCCCTCTCACACACACACACACACACACACACACACACACACACACACACACCACTCAAATGTCAGACGCAATTTGTCAACAAGACGAGAGAAAGGGCAGCGCCAACAAGCGTATAAAGATCTCGTTTCCTCTTTTTCTTCCGATGCCTCCCACTGAGCTGCGGCATCCTGACATATGGACAACAAACAGACCGACTGTGACGCTGCTCGTGCACAAATCTGATCACCATTTTCACATTTACTGAAAAAGACTTGGACAAAGTCAACACACAAAAAAAACAGAAAAAAAACGCATCAATCAGTGTTAAAACAACACATACACATATTATACTCTAGAGAGCTCTGGTTTTTAGATGCATTTACTGTTTGTGCCATTTTCACTGCTTTGACCAACCTGCTCATTTCAAACAAGTCTTCTAAATCAGTGGTTCTCAAACTTTTTAGACTGCGTACCACCTCCGAAAATATTTGGCTCTCCAAGTACCACCATTATGGTAGACGTTAAAATACACTGTAGGCCTATTTCAACACACATTTCATGCAAGAGGCAAATTAATTCATAAAAAGAATATTATTTATTATTGACTGCTGGCAGCCACGCTGTAGGCCTACTAAGGGCTCGTGTTAGAACTTGCACACACAAAAGTGCAGAACAATAAAAATGACAACTTTATACCAACAACCTGTTTGGAAATATTTAGTCTCCAGTGTTTCCCACTAATAGACAATACCTGGGCCCAAGTACATTTCTGACCTGTTCTCATTTAATTTTTCATTGATTCATAAAATTGCTGCGTGCCTGAGAGAGCGAGATGTAGCGGGGGAGAAAGAGAGAGAGGCTCCGTGCAAACAGAGCCGCTGTATTATAAGTCTCTGCGTTCAACATAGCAAAACTGCCTTTTAAAAAAAAATCCCTCTTGACTCCTGCGGAGTATTAAGACAGCAAAAGAGAGCAGAATCACATCAGCTTCAGAGCTACAGAGAGAGAGAGAGAGAGAGAGAGAGAGAGAGAGAGGGAGGGGGGGCGATAAGGTCCGCTGTCCGTACATTCATCAAAACTGAAGCTTCTCCAGGCTCCGTTTTAAAAATGTAAATGTACAGCTGCTTGCTGCGGATTGTGTCTGAACTCCAATAAATAACAGAATATCTGTTAATGTGGGCCTACATTAACAGAATATCTCTCCACTGGTTCCTGAGAAAAATATCCATCTTTTAGGCTGCTGCTGATTTTTTTTTAAGTCTACAACTTTGTCTCCCTGTCCTCTTCGCTGCTCTGACTTCAGCGTACAGGTGGTTTAGAACAGTGGTCATCAGCAGCCTAAAAGATGGATATTTTTCTCAGGAACCAGTGGAGAGTTTGAATGTTAGACTCTTAATCATAAAGCACAAGTGTCTTTTTGAATCAGGCAACTTTTTTTCATATGCAGACCAAATAAACGTATAAAGGTGACACAAGGTAAAGGCTGTGTGCAGAATCAAAAAACGATTAAAGATGATTCTTGTGCTGTGGGCAGGACCGTCCATACGAGGGAAAAAGGTGAAATGTTTCTGAGTGTGGGATGAGTCATCAATGGTTAAAGCTTAATAACAGTAAGAGTTTAACTTTATGACTGAATCTGAGAAGTTACATTTCTTCAACAGATGAACAGAAACAATACGCTCTACAGTCAGACATGAAAAGCAACTGAGGAGGAGGACGAAGAGGAGGAGGAGGAGGAGGAGGAGAAGGAGGAAGAGGAGGAGGACGAGGAGAAGGAGGAGGAGAAGGAGGAGGAAGAGGAGGAGGAAGAGGAGGAAAAGGAGAAGGAAGAGGAGGAGGAAGGAGGAGGAGGAGGAGAGGAGGAGGAGGAGGAGAGGAGGAGGAGGAGAAGGAGGGGAGGAGAGAAGGAGGAGGAAGGAGGAGGACAAGGAGAAGGAGGAGGAGGAGTAGGAGGAGGAGAAGGAGGGGGAGGAGGAGAAGGAGGAGGAAGAGGAGGAGGAGGAGAAGGAGGAGGAGGAGAAGAAGGAGGAGGAGGAGGAGGAGGAGGAGAAGGAGGAGGAGGAGAAGAAGGAGGAGGAAGAGGAGGAGGACGAGGAGAAGGAGGAGGAGAAGGAGGAGGAAGAGGAGGAGGACAAGGAGAAGAGGAGGAGGAGTAGGAGGAAGAGGAGGAGGAGAAGGAGGAGGAAGAGGAGGAAGAGGAGGAAGAGGAGGAGGAAAAGGAGAAGGAAGAGGAGGAGGAAGAGGAGAAGGAGGAGGAAGAGGAGGAGGAGGAGAAGGAGGGGGAGGAGGAGAAGGAGGAGGAGGAAGAGGAGGAGAGAAGGAGGAGGAAGAGGAGAAGAGGAGGAGGAAGAGGAGGAGGAGAGGAGGAAGAGGAGGAAGAGGAGGAGGAAAAGGAGAAGGAAGAGGAGGAGGAAGAGGAGAAGGAGGAGGAAGAGGAGGAGGAGGAGAAGGAGGGGAGGAGGAGAAGGAGGAGGAGGAAGAGGAGGAGGAGCAAAAGGAGGAAGAGGAGGAGAAGGGGGAGGAGGAGGAGGAGAAGGAGGAGGACGAGGAAGAGGAGAAGAAGGAGGAATATAGGAAAAGGAGGAGGAGGAGGAAAAGGAGGAGGAGGAGGACGAGGAAGAGCAAGAGGAAGAGGAGTAGGAGGAGGAGTAGGAGGAGAAGAAGGAGGAATATAGGAAAAGGAGGAGGAGGACGACGAGGAAGAGCAAGAGGAAGAGGAGGAGGAATAGGAGGAATAGGAGGAATATAGGAAAAGGAGGAGAAGAGGAGGAGGAGGAGGAGTTTTCTGTGTGGTGAGTCACTGACACACGGCAGACAGATGCTGGATAAGAGGCGACCCTGCTGACGGTGACGAGAGGAGGAAGGTAGTTTAGACACATAAACAGCCACCTGATGGACACAGCACACACACCACACACACACCACACACACCACACACACACACAGCACACACACCACACACAGCACACACACACACACACACACACACACACACACACACACACTGACACACACAAACAACAGAGGTGTGGTAAGCGTTGGTGTGATTCACTGCTGACATCAGAGCCCGTTTACAGCGGTGGAAAAGCATCAGCTGCCAGACTCTATTGTCTTAAACGACATGCACCTGCAGGCGAAGATGGAGGGATAAGAGGAAGAACACTCAGGCCAATCAGGATTCAGAGGAGAGAGTAATGATGAGAAAGGAGATGGAGGGAGGCTTGAACAAAAGCAAAGAAAGGCAGGATAAACAGATCTCAGCTAATCTGATTGTTTCTTCTGTGCTCTGTCTCTGCTGCTCAGACCAGCGGCCTGCAGAGACACATCAGAGAGGAGATTGGTTCCTAAGATACAAATCTGTTCCCATGTTTGTGGAGACAATCTGAATATTTGCAGCTTCTTACACAGATGAGAGCCTTTTTTTTTTAATCATCCCTTTTTAATTATATCAGAAACAAAGGCAACTCAACTGCAACAAAGTGGTTCATGTTCTGCATGGATGTGTCTTCGTTTACAGGAAGCTAATCGATTAGCAAAGTGATGAAACATCTGAACGACAGATTAAAACACTCCAGTGATGAAAGTATATCTCTAGGACGGAGGTGCGCAACTGGCGACACAGGGACCACATGACGCCCCCCCCCTCCCTCCTCACTTATTGTGGCCCCCATTTCATTTCAAACATCAATAAATTGTGAACATGAAGGATTACGGCCAATACAACTCCACTCATGACATGGACATGGAAACATTTCTTTAATAATCATTGATTATAGGTATATGTCTTGTTCTTTGCAAGGAATGCAAAATGCATTTCACCTCCCGGTTATGAGAAAAGTCCATCCTCTCCGTCTTTTTCCTGCTTCACTTCTCAATAAAAACCTGGTAAAGAAGAAGTACAGGACTAAGCCAGAGATAAGAAAAAGCTGGGGTGGAGCTTCTATTGGATAATATGGCTGAAGAGAGACAGGAAATGTTGGGAGGAATGAGCGGAGGATGACATGCAGCAAAGGGCCGAGGTCAGATTGGACTGTAGTGTCAGTACAATGGGTGCATGAAACAACCACTAGGCCATCGGTGACCTGATCAACGAGAGTTTTAAGAAAAGATTGAAAAGATGACACTGAGTTTGCCTGAGATCTGCACGTTTATTCTTCCTACAGGCCCAAAACGCGTCTGCTGATTTTATCTTAATTTTCAGAAACTAAACTTTCTGTTATGAAATATAAATTATTCTCTTGTTTTCATTTCCTGCTGCTGCTTTTATACGACTTAAACTGGAAGATCATGAATCGGCTTTCTCCTGCCTCCAGATAACTTTCACTGTGTAACTCTGCTCTGTGTGTGTGTGTGTGTGTGTGTGTGTGTGTGTGTGTGTGTGTGTGTGTGTGTGTGTGTGTGTGTGTGTGTGTGTGTGTGTGTGTAAATCTCTCTCTCTCTCTCTTACCCTGCCGAAGATGGGCACCAGGTGATGCTCACACATGGAGAACATGTCGATGTCTTTGACGATCACCATCTCGTCGTGGTCTTCGTCGAAGATGGCGTCGTTCAGCACGTCTGCAAAGAAGAAACATTTAATGATCCGTTTTAATCATCAGATTTTTTTAATGTTTAGATTCATGAACTTGGCCAGCGTCCTTCAATGCACCGTAAGTCCATCAGCTGTGTTGATGTATTCATTTCATTTGCCATTTATCTGTTAGTATTTGATTTAAAAAAAAAAAATTCACAAGTTTGAATTTGAATTTTCACAATTGATCCCTTCTTATTTTTACATGTTTTAATAATAAATAGAGTTTTGGATTTTTTTATACTTAAATTGAGGTTTTAAACTCTGTTATGAAGAGACATGCTTCTCTCACACAAAGGTAGGAATTAGACACATGCACAAACAGGACGTGTGGACATTAATGGATTAATGGAGAGATGTCAGAGTGGTGCTGCGACCACAGGGAGCAAACAGCACTGTTGGGGGGTTTGGTGCCTTGCTCAAGGGCACCCTGGCAGTACACAGGAAGTGACCTGGCACCTCTCCAGCAACCAATTATCCAGATTATCCGGGGTTCTAAATCCGGTTTGAATTTAAATAAACAATAAAGGCACTTATTAATTGTTTGTTTGCTGCTTTTACTAATCCGGTTTCACTAATCTGGATTTTTGCATAACAGCCGTCTTGCATCACTTCCTGTCCCCGCGATGACAGACAGGTGGAAACCACCTGGGACCTCCTGCTCCCCTCCGTCGTTCAGCTGCTCCTCTCTCTCTTTATCGTTGACTTTTGGTGTTTCTTTCAGGCAAACATCCCATCTAATTATAGCTCTGCTTCCATACTCCGCTTCCTGTTGTTGCTTTATTGCATTTTTCAGTTGCCGGGGGTTCAATAAACCGCTTTATCTGTTTGTGACGATGCAGACGCCTCTCGCTCACCGCGGCACTTTTTAATTTCCTGACTGGCGATCAGTTAAAGGGAGAGGGGCCCGAGGTCACTGATCGACAGAAAACACACTGACTTGTTGCTTCACTTTTATTATTTGACTCTCCGTGTGAAACAGGTGACAGGTAGATTGCCTTTGGAGCATGTTAGCAACTTTAAAACATATTCAGGTCTATTTTTTTTGGTATTATTCTTCATTTAAAATGACAAAGTTTGAGTGATGTCATGGAGTCCTTATCACTGAGTTTGTTGATCACAAACACACATGATATCTTAAAATGATCCCATTTGGGACTTTTGATGATGAGGCATTCTGCACACAAAAACAGAAATCTGAGGTTGTTTTTAATCATCTTTGACAGCTCAATGAATTACAAAGCTGAGATAAGCTGAGAGTGTTCATTTTAGATGCATTTAATGTCATAAAGCTCTTCACTGAGTGTTCTGATAGTTCCATCCTGAACGCTGAACACGCTCAGCTAATAGCTGGTGAGAAAACCTGACAAGCAGTGAATATTTTACACGTCCTCCTTGTAGCACATTTTAAAATTTCACATGTTTTAAGACCCCTGTGATTGACAGGTCAACAGTCACCAATGACAGCTGGGATCAGCTCCAGCTCCCCACGAGCACAAACTGTATAAGCGGTACAGATAACGGACGGATGGATGGATGTTTTAAGAGAATTGTGATTTTGGAGGGTGAAGAAATCCATGAAGTAACCAGCTAATATTATAGAATAAGGATGCTATGATGATAATGTTTGCCTTTATAGCAATGCTATGTGTCATTTAACAGAATTACAACATCAACAAAAAAGCGGAGAACATCATACTGACGAGCGAAAAATGTAATTCAGCGGAGATCATAGCTGCGCTATATCAGTGAATGCGCCGACAGTCACAGTATATAAACCTCACCCCCCCTCCCATTGGCTCGAGGTGAATTCTCCTGATCATATCCTGCTGTGTTCTCACATCAGTTCACTCGGACTTGCTGCAGAAAAAGAAACTAGTAGGGGTCTGGTAGGAGAAACTCCAGGTGAAGTCTGAGCGAAAAATGTGGCTGTTTGTGTTCACACATACAGCTCCTCCTAGAAATATCAGCAATTTTCAAGTGTGCAAGTGTGAAAGCCTTAGAAATGGACACCACACATGCACAAACCAAAAAAACATCAGTATCGGCTATTATTTTTATAATCGGGGCATCTCTGGTGAAACTCCAAAAATAAGGACAAGATGTTGTGTAAAGACAGCAGTGATGGTAAAAGATAGAACATCCATCCTGAAGGAGAAAAACATCAAGTCAACCTTAAATAAATAAAGGGCAGCTGGTGAGGACCCTAAGGGTGTGTGTGTGTGTGTGTGTGTGTGTGTGTGTGTGTGTGTGTGTGTGTGTGTGTGTGTGTGTGTGTGTGTGTGTGTGTGTGTGTGTGTGTGTGGAGGCCACCACATGTTAAAATTTTTTGAATGAAGCTGGACATACAGTAAATGAGCAATTGACTAAATAAACAACGTTATTAAATTGACAGTTGTATTTGTTTGTATTCGTATGTGTGGTGTTGTCAAAGTACACACTCATTGCTGCACCACAAAAACACACACACACACACACACACACACACACGTTTCCTATTCATAGTCATAACCCTGGGTGTGTATTTATGACTCAACGCTGTACATCTTGTCTCTGAACGCACATATTGTGGACATTAACTTTAATTATGTTCGAGCAGCCTGCAAAGCAATACGTTTATTTTCAAGTTGTACATCCTGTAATATTCAAAGCGTTAAAATGATAACAGGTTGTGTAAGTCTGAGCAAATGATGTTTGTTTACCTAAAAACGTTCTGAATGAGAGTCGAGACTCCTTCATGTCGATGGTGCCAGCTGATTGTCAGCTAGATCCTTGCATGTGTATGTATGCCTGTTTATACATTGCTTTAGATAAAAGCATCTACTAAATGAATTGTAGAACTCTAAAAACAAACAAACATTGAGGTGAGAGAATCTAATTCACGGAGAGAATGGAGGTTATCTGTACGATAACTTCCTGTTATAAACGTCCCTAGGACCACACGTCTAAATACTGATTTCTAAATTGTTCATTTTTAATTTTCCATTCATTAGATATATTATTCTAAATCTGGCAACCATCTTAGGGTAATTCTTCTTTAGGTCTGTGTAGCTGTCCTATATATGTGTAAGAAACATCAGAGCAGCAGATCTATATTTGGACAGGAGCCAAGTGTAATGTGTCTGACATTTACAATAAAGGTAATGTCATCTTTCTATCCTAGTACAAGTGTACTCAAATGGAAAGGAATGTGTAGGCTGTTCCTTCTAACAGAATATAAGCAAGACTGTTCACATGAAAAGTTTGTCATATATGCTCTGTTTTGACTGACCTCAGCCGAACAAATCCTCAAATAATCCACAGTCTGTCTCACGATTTCATCATTGAACATTAACAGGAGAAACGCCCCCAACTAACATGCTTTCTTCTGTTATGGCAAAGCTTCTCGGCGAGTGAGACATTTGACTGTTAAAAGAAAAGGATACACATTTTTTGGTAAAACAGAGAGAAAAAGAAAGCTGCAGGAAATTTACAAACTGACAAAAGCCTAAAGTTCCTCACAGGAGCTTTCACTGTTAGTTACTGTACAGTTAGGCACAATGAGAACAACCCGAGCATTGATGGAAAAAGTTACACCAAGTACACAAGTCTGCAGACATGCCTGCAGCGCTGCTGGATGTGCTAACGTCAGCATGCTTACATTTTTGGATTTGGGCAATAAACGTAAAGTAGATCTGAGAAAGATGGGCGTGTCATTCTTCACATATTCAAACTTTGACCTGATAGTGGTGCTACGAGGGACAATGAGTGAGTTTTGTGACCTGTGGCTAATAAAATATTATCAAAGCTATGATGAATCGTAATAATCCCTCAAAGCTGGGGTCCATTGAGTCGACTGGAGACGGATCAGTCATATTTAAGCACATGAGCACAGAGATCCCGCCTCAACGTTACCATGGAGACGGTTGTAACGTACGTCTGTCCTGTTCGAGTGTGTGTGAATGTTTAGTTTTGAATGTAAGGCCTACAGTATGAAGTGTGCCGCTGTTACCTTTAGTGTAATCAGTTTCATTTGATCCTTTAACCCAAAACTGGGAAACTACACTGGGAAACGTAAACAAAGCTCTCTGGTAAGAACAAGCTGCATTTTCTGAAAGGATTATGAAGACTATTAAAATGTATGTTCATGTATCACTTTTTTCATGTAGGACCTGGGGGGGGGCTCAGCTTTTTTTAAGGCTCAAGTACTTGGGGAGGTGGGGTGGGGGGGTTCAGAGAGAAAGGTTGGGAACCACTGGTATATAGGATTTCAATACATCACATATATAGATGTCATATTAGTATCAATATATTAACCTGCATAATTGTAGTTCAGGCAAAAAGTAAAATGTATGTGAATCACACGAGTGACTATTTGTCACTTAATCAACAAGTAGACTAACTAAAAGTTAATCTGCCATATGTATGGAATAAAAAAGATTCAATTTCAAGAAAGGTTAAAGTAAAACTGGCATTCAGATATTCTGCATTTCTCCCTATGTTTCTGATATTTAGGGACAAAATGATGAGAGCAAACTGTAAATAAATCAGAAGTCTAAATCTGATACTTTGTGCATCAATTAACACCAGCAACATGTGCACTCAGTGGACAATAGTCTCAATTTTCTGTAATCTGGCTGCTATAACATCACAAGCTCAAAATTCCTGCTTAATCTCTACATAACTCTTCCTCATTACAGTTTGTTGGTCATGTGCTCGACAACAAGAGGATTTCTAGCTCATGTTGTGATGAAAGCTGAACCCGTGACCTGCACATACACACACACACACACACACACACACTCACACACACACACTGACACACACACGCGCACACACACACACACACACACACAATCACAGTAATCAAACAGTGTGAAACTCACAAAAAAAAATGCTTGAACTCTCCACAAACATTCAGCAGTCTGAAAACTAAAACACGTGTTTTTTTGTGTTCAAAGGGGAGTTCTCCAGCCTCAGCCAATCAGCACACACACACACAGACAAACCACCACCGCCTGGAGAACAACACACACGTGTGTCATCATTATCTCATAGCACTGTCCCTCCTCTTGTTGAGAGGCGAGAGGAAGCTGGGGGTCATCTGATCGTACCTGTGCTTGACTCAGGACCAAAACATGGTCAAACACCTTCCCCTCTTTTCACATGGAGCCCCTCACGTTTCTCCTCTCGCTTCACTGCATTCCTTCCTTGAGCATTACAGCTTCACATAATGCCTAAAACAACGCCCCCCCCCCCAACCAACCAACACACAAACTGACTCCAGATGGAGTCCTGGAGGACGCCGAGATGTTGAAGAGGGGGCAGATCCCCGACAGCAGCCATTCCAGCGTGCAGCAGCGTGGAGAAGCCGGCCAATGTGGACCCAACACTGCGTATCAACCCCCCTCTCCAGGTGCTTTCACCCCACAACCCCAACATATGAATGACTCAGCAAACCATCTCTGGAGCAGCAGGCGGGGCTGGTTTCACTCGATTTAACATAAAAAGGGAGGATGCAGATAAATCTGACCGACAGATCAATGACAGGTTGTTCTTTGCCATTTTAATATCAATGACTGAAACGACACACTCTGTACTTGATTGGACTCAGGACACAGATCTGAAAAGAGAGGCTGGGTTCTATAAAATGCATTCTTCTTTATGGCCAGTAGGGGACTCAACTGCTTGTAAAACTGAGTCCGTTTGTAAAGAAGTTTACAGGAAAACAATGTAACTTCTGACTAGATTTATTACCTCGGATAACACGTCTCAAATGGATCTTTGGTCTCAATCTCTGGTTTAAAGTCTTCTGTAATACAGCATGATGCTCACTTTGTAAAGTATGGTTCGATTCAGAATCAAACAGACAATAAAGTCGGGTTGCTTTATGGCATGGTTACCTTCTGAATAACACTATATTTAAGAAATTATAGAAGATAGAAGCCTTTGACAACATACCTGTGATGAGCCGAGATAGCTTGTAGAATAAAAATAACTTTTTGAACTTCATAAATGAAGCATTAATTCTGAAACTGTACTTTTAGGACATTCAAGTGAATGATGTAAATGTAGTGTCACAAGAGGCCAACGCTGGTGATTTGATCTGATTTGAAACTGAAAAGTTCCCTAAATGAAATGTTTTTTTCCGAATGAAAATATGATGTTAAACTCCTATTTGATTTTGGGAGGGTACAATATGTTTTCAATGAATGGATATACTGTATATTCATATATGTTCAAAATCTATCTGAAATTAAAATAATTAAATTGCTAATCTCACATTATCAAGACACACATTATTCAAGTAAAATACAGTTTCTTTAGCTTCATAAATAGCCCTAAACTACAAAGTAAGCAGAAAATACAGCTGCAACAACAACAGCTTGTCTAAGAAGCATTTTAAAACATTTTCCTTTCACAGCTTATTTTAATAAAAACACAACAAAAATGGGATCTTGCTGTTTGAGGGATAAATACTCAGACATTCACTACACCACGCCTAAATCATCAGCATAAGTTAATACAGCATGAGGGGTGGAAACATGGACTGTGTCAAAATGCTGACTGAAACTGCAACTTTCAGTCAACTTAGAAACAGTCAAAGGGCTGGAACTGAGGTGGGTACAGCTACAACCTGTCAGATCAACTACGCCCAAAATGAATGCAGAACTCTCAGCCTTCATATAATCAAACTGATTAGTGATTAAAACAAACCCCCCCCGCACACTCTGTACCAATGAAGAAATGACCCATTCAGACCAAAATTGTATTGTGAAGCATTTTGCTTCATGCTCTAAACATGTTTATTTCTTTCTTTTTGTCAAAGTGGGCATTTCAATATGGGTGGTTTTTGCAGCCAGCCTCAAGGAACTTCAGTTTTTTTTAACTCCCTCATTGGCTTCATTTATCCATCACTGCTTGGGGGTTCCTGCTTGGATACAAAATTCACTACAAAGTTCATATTCTTAATTTTTTATATCAAAACGGTGGTGACTGGTTAGTTGTCGTCATAGTGTCTTTGACTCCAGACTGTTCACACTAAATAGAATAGAATAGAATAGAATAGAATAAAATAGAATAGAATAGGATAGAATAGAATAGAATAGAATAGAATAGAATTACTTTATTGATCCTAAACTGGGAAATTGTGGTGTCACAGCAGCAGGTTATCCAACACACAATATGAGTAAAAAAACAAAAAAATGTGTTTTGTGTTGGCAACATTTCAGTATGAAAACGTAGCCAATTTATTAATGCAAACAGTGTGCAGAAGTTTGCCTGCAATTTTTGATGGATTCAATCGTCTCTAACACACCTTTCCTTTGGAACAGATGTTTTTTTTAAGCTTCGGTACTTTTTTTTATACGATCTTTGAAAGGCAGGGTTGGTACTTTTTGAAAAACTAGCATGATTTTGAAAGTAGCATTCCCTCAGTGCTCTGTCGTCACCCACCCCCTCCCCCCTGTGTTCCCTCAAAAGCCACATCAACGACAAACTCACAGTATAAACTCTCGTAATCGCTGATGCGCTTTGAGTGTGGGCTCGTGAATGCATGGGGTAGAGAACGAGCAGGTAGACAGGGAGGCGTGATTGGTTCATCCGATTGGTACCTCGTGGCAGACATTGGTCGAAGTTTTTACAGGATTACAACTGATACAGACGACGATGATTTTCTTCATTCCTTTTTTCAGAGAACATGAGTTATTCATTTCTGTCAGGACCTAAAGACAATTTCAACCAGAATCTTAAAACGTGGATCTGGAGAAAATTACCAACCCTGACGTGAAATAACAGATTGTTTTGTTTTAAAACATGCAGAATCAAAAAGTATCAAACATTTTGACACCCTCATGTCGCTGTGACGCATAGATAGAGAGTGCATCCTTTCAGATTGAAATGCTTTAGAGAACCAGGACGTGTTCTCAGCGTCATCACAGCTTCTCACACAGAAACATCAGCTAAAGTAAAAGAAGCATCTCACAGCAACATCCACCCTGAAGGGAGATTAAGGGCAGCTGGAGAGGACTGCCAGCTCTGACGAAAGGACGGGGAGGGTCTGTGTGTTTATGTCTACATGAGTGTGTCTATGTTTGTATGACGAGACCACATGCTGACATGTCCTGAATGGAGAAGGACAGAGGTAATGAGCAAATTACTAAATAAACAGATTGTTTAGATTCATGTGTGTGTGACAGTAAATGCTCTCATCGTACTCAAAAACATAAAGGGGCAAAATGTCAGGGAATAACTTAACCCCCCCCCATCATTCTTTCTGTAAAATAAATCATTAGAGAAGTCTGGTTGTCTGACTGCTCAGGTTTCTCCACCTGTTTACTTTAGCTCTGTTATAATCCTAATTATGTCATCATTACTTTGAGCTGACTCGTCCTTACCAAGACTTTACAAACCAGTTACCACACAGCATCAACGAGGTTTCATTTATTTTTTTAAATCCACTATTTCTATCTGGCAGATTTGATGTGGGAATTTTGGTTTGGAGCATTTGGCGCCCACCAAAGGTCTCTGAGTGCAACTGCACTGTCGTCACACACAGTGCTGCTGTTACTCCTCCTCCTCTTGAACAACGTGCATTTGTTTACAAGCAGAGGAAGACGAAGCCGTGAGAAGCCAACAAACCATGTCGACTAATATTACCGGAGATTGCTCGAATATGACTCTGACAGCGTCTACAGCCTGCTGTTTGCAAACTGTTTGTATGTTGAGTTTGAGTGTGTGTATTCTGAGACATAACTTAGATGACTTTAAACATGAGTCAACGTTGGCTCTGATGAGGATTACAACCTACAGTGCGTCTCAATCTGTTGTGAATTATAGAATTCTGCAGAGATGTACACTCTGCCTCTTGCTCAGTCACTCTTTCTTTTTCTCCTCTTAGCTTCATCCATCATTGTCCTCTTCCTCTTTGCCTCAGCCACAGATTCAAACATAGGGACGGACTAACAGGCTTCTTTTAGCTTGTGTGTACACACTTCACATAAGATGACCTCAGCCCTCGCTCCTCCTGCAGCTTCTGTTATAAACTACAGTAGGATAAAGCCACACAGCTGACATGAGAGAGACGATATTCTCCCTGTTGGAGGTTATTGTGCTATTAAATTGACCTTTGACACTGCTGTTGTAAGGTGGAAAGGTTACATGTTGTTGCTTTAATAAACTCAACATGAAGTAATATCTACCTGTTGAACAAAATATAAAACAGCACCGCCACTACTTTCACTTTTGACGCTTAATGCACATTTCTCTGTCCGTACTTATTTTACTCAAATAATAAAATAATAAAGAACATGAATTCTTCACCCACAAGCTGAGAAGCAAGGAGGAGGACGGGTGGATTATTGTCCAACATCTGGATGAAAAATGAACAGCATCTAATTTTATTGTTATATCATGACTGATGTTGATAAACATGGTGACTTAATAAAAGCAGTTTATATTCAAAAGTGAAGCAGTATCATGACTAAATGTATTCAAGCACAAGTTTTAAGCAGTCTAATTGTTCATACTTGAATATTTTCCATGTATGCCACTTTACATTTCAAAGGGAAAATACCTTAAACACTTCTTTTCTTTCTGAAAAGAAGTCTTAATTTCCTGTATTCAATGAAGGGGAATATAGAAGGTGCTTTAAATCTTTTCTGCATATGAATAAGTCTGTAAAGTGATTTTTTTTTTCTTAATTTGTTTATAGGCGAATAAACACCTGTTGAAATGGAGAACAAATCCCCAGCGCCTCTGAGCGGCTTTGTGGATTAAAAACACTCACCGATGATTTTCTCCTGGTAGCCCTTGGTGAAGAACTGCATGGCGGTGGCGGCTCTCCAGGGGGTCTTGAGGAGCCCCTGCCGCTGAGGGTCCTCCCCGAGCCCCCGCAGGATGGTGGTGTAAGCGGCGGCCAGGGAAGGCAGGCTCATCTCGTTGTCCTCCACGCTCCTTGTGCGCTCCTCCCTCCAGCTCTCCATCCCCGCGTTGGCCGGCCGGTGAGAGCTGCACTCCGCGCCCGGGGGCTGGGGAGTTTGGGTGCGCACGGTTCCGCCGGCCGGCCGCTTCACCCGCCCGTCAAAGTGTCCGTTAGGCACGGAGCTGCTGTCCCCGGTGTCTTTGACCTCATTTGAAGTGTACTGAATCTGTTTGGAGGGCTCCATCACTTCTTTAGTTTGTGTTCTCCTGTTTGTTGGGCACTTGTTGAATCAGTTTCTCCTCCTCTCTGTTCCTTTTAATGGGTGGTTTTACTTTTCAGTGCGCGCTCCTCCTGCAGCTGCTGCATCCTCTGGCTTTATAACAACAGGATAATCCAACGAGGGCTTCAATTGGCTAACCGACTCCAGGGGGCGGGGTCACACTTTTCTTTGATTCACTCATGCACCCTGCTGAAGATGAACCACGGTCATAGTTTATCACAGCTAGGCACGAAGCAAAAATTGACAGGGGGCCCCCACAAACAGCATTAGTCCCCATTATGTAGGCTAATAAATAATCTGACACGACACATTTTTTTTTAGCAGAATTTATGTTATAAAAGTGTCTCTCCCCCATATTTAGGGCTGGACAAGCATCATTCAGTCATATGGGTTTCCTACTGTCATTGCAAACTTTGCACATGCAATGTGAGGCAATGCTGTGGTTTTAAAGTTCATCAGCCCTTGGGGGCCCCCTACTGGCCTGGGGCCCCAAGCAGTTGCCTGCCTTGCCTGTTGACAAGCAAGTGCAGGAAGAGGCAGAAACTTTGAAGAGCTTATTTTATGCTAAATTATCACCAAAATATATTTTAAAAAGCTGTCGAGGTACAATTTAATAGTACTTTACTTTACATGAGCTATTTTAACTTTCTCCTTCTTCATCTCCTAAGTCCACAGCCAGAACAAGTTAGAAGCAGGGCGATTCTAGGGTGTGTTGGGGGCCCTAGGCAAACGTTCATTGGAGGCCCCGTCCAATGATTTTTCCTCTTTTTTTTCCCCACCCACAGACGGATTTCTCCTCTTCTTTTTCATTTAATTGAATAATTTTGGTTTTCACAGGAATAATGCTGTGACGCTTAGCAGGGCATTGAGAGTGAGTGCTGTCAGATGGGGCTCCCTGAGGCAGATCTCCTACTGTCGTTGCAAAATTTGAGGCAATGCTATGGTTTAAAGTTTGCCAGCTGTTGGGGGCCCCATACTGGCCTTGGGCCCCTAAGCAGTTGCCTGCCTTGCCTGTTGACAAGCAGCGACTCTCATGAATGAATGACACCTTTATTGCCCCTAGGGGAATTTGCCTTGCACAGAGAGTTAAAAAACACAATACAAACAAACATTTACAGGACAGCACGTAAGAACACATAAAAACACACTAAAGCATCACATGATTCAATGAGGGATTTCAGCAAGTTCAATAAAGTGCAGAGTGCCGAGTTCGTCCTGTATAATCAGTTCTTATTAAGCAGCTGAATACTGCGCGGTACAAAGGATGTAATGCCTCTTTTAGTCCTCATCCTGGGCATTCTGTACCTGCGCCCTGAATTCAAGAGTTCATACTCTGACCAAAGGGTGTGCAGAGGGTCAGCTGTGATCTTGATGGCTAAATTCACTGTGTACCGGTCTGTCAGGAAAGAAATGCTGCACATTTGCCTCCCAGTTATCTTGCTGCCTAGTTTAACAACCTTGTCCAGTTTGCTCCTATTTTGTAAGGACAGTGCTCCTCCCCAACACTGAATACAAAAGGTCAGCACACTTTTTTCAATAAAAGTCTTCTAAAATAAATTCAGCATAGTGCTGTCAACATTAGAGGTAATGTAGGCCTACTTTGATCTATTGCTCCTTAATTATTTAACTTTGTTGCACTTTAGGCTGCACTTTAAGATTAAATACCTAAAGGGTAGGAAACACTTAATATTCTAACAGGTTAACAAAATACTAAATTGTGGTGACATCATATAGTTCAACCAGACATGTTATCTTTGGTTGGTAAAATGCAGCTCCTTTATGAACATGGATTGTGATAAAATTATTAATCGTTGTCTGTGAAGCGTTGAGTATTGTCATGTGCGGAAAAAAAATAAAAAATAAAATAAAAATTATATAAATAAACTGCAAGAAAAACACAACATGATGAGTCCACGTCTCTCAGAAACACAAAGACAGTAACAACAGAAAACTCATTCTCAATAAAGAGATACTTTAAACATTCTTACCCAGAATTGAAGGATATTTTAAATATTTTTTCCAATAAATATTAATTACAGCTGTTAAGTTTAAATTAGCATTAACAGTGGAAACGGGCGAAACCAGTGGTTGCCTGGTAACGCAGACTGGTTGCCAGGCGACTGCTTGGCGAACACTACCACCAGCGTTATTATCGTTTCCGCTTTTCATAATAATATATATAATATATATATATATTATAATAAATTCAGAATAAAAAACATGTTCTTCAGTTAGCTTATAAGTGTCGTCAATCGTGTTATGTTTCACTGAGACCACCGGGCTGACCTTATCTGCTTGTTTTCAGTGTTGACGATAAGATAACTTAACTGGCTGCCAGCTCCAGCTTCCTGTTTATCTCGTTAGAGGTCAAATCTCGCGGGATTTCCATCATAAAAGCTATTAAAGGAAGCCCATTTCCTTTATCAAGTAATGCTATTTATTTAATCTAAGGTAGCCTATTTATTATTGTTTATAAAAATAAAAATCTAATTAATTTAATCTGTAATATAAAATGTAAAACTCAACAAGTAGCCTAAGGAAGCGCAATATCTTATAACTGATTAATTTTATGAATATAATCTAAAGCAGGCCTATCCCAATACATTATTTAGGTCTATGTCTGATGTGTTCTTGGGCAATACCATAGACTGTAAAAATAAGCAATACACTTAACCTCAAATTGCTCCCGCTGCTGCGTCAGCGGCGTATGAATGTGATTAGTTACTGCTGATCTGATTCTACCATCAGTGTGTGAATGTGTAGGTTTGACAAGCGGAAAAGCTACTGCCCCATTCCTTGTGTTGGAGAAATGTTTGAAAAAGTTCAGGAACAAGTTGTCTCAGGAAGTTATTGATCCTTTTTTTTAAACAAATCTCTTCATTTTTGGCCCTTTTTAACATCTCCATTAGCAGCAAATATGCTCAGAGCTGAAAGCCAGACAGGAAGTAATGAGACGAACAGATTGCTCTGTTTTGATTTGAATGCCAGAGGAATGAAATTAGAAGACAAATCCAGGAACTAACAAACATGAACATTTATTGAATGGTTAAAATACATTTAGAGGTTTTTTAGAAATGTTCTAAAAGTAGAAAAGAAAACCGAGGACACTCCATTACCTTCACTCAATACTTTGGAGACATTATAAGAGTTTAATGTTCTGATTAAGTGCCTCAAAGTGTAACAACATATTCACATAACAAACAGATTTAACAGGATCGACAGTTTTCAGCACCAAAAGGAAAAAGAAAATATCAAAACATTTAGTTTTTGTTAAAAGCAAATGCTGAAAGCTTGGAGGAGGGATCCAAAGATTTCTTCTTCTTGGCACTGGTTTCATCTGCTGCTGCTGCTTGTCCATTCTCATCTTCCCCTCCTGCTCCTCCTTCTACTCCTCCTGCTCTTTTCCTCTTCTTCAGATCTGCTGCGTCTCCACTTTGGCCTTTTGCTCTTTCCGTCCACGTCTGAACGAGGGAAAGAAAAAAGGACATGAGAAGCACATGTTAATCACTGAACAATACATGTTTCTGTTGCTTCCATCCACACTGCAGACACCTACACGATGATGACTAAACGCACAAACACGGACACTCAGGCGTGCAGTTTGAAATTGCATCCTGTCATGTATAATCACTATTGACAGGCTGCATCTCTTTGGCCTCTCTTTCCTCCTCATGCTTTTGTTTTTCTCTCTCCCGAGTCGAGACAAAAGGAAGCGCCTTCCTGGACGTAATGGAGCCGGGATGAATCATCACGGCCTGTTGATGGAGTGGACTGGCAGCATCACAGGACACACACACACAATCTACCTCACACTCACGTATAACCCTGCCATTAACCCCGTTTCTATTCAAACACACTCACAACCACCAGTTCAGGGCGGGTTGACACAACAAGCTGTGACGTCCAACATCCGTCAATTTTCACTTGATTGTATTTGGACAGGATAATGTCATTAAGTGCAACATACACACACAAACAACACACACACACACACACACACACACACACACAACACACAACACAGCCCCAGGGTGAGACATTAACGGGGTTTAGGGTTAAAAATCCAGGTTTATGAAAACCCTGTAACAGATACGTGTGCTGCAAAATACTGAAACAAATACAAATCATACAAAAATGCAAAAAGCTGGGGAAAGAACATGTAGGACAAAATCCAACAGGTTAATAAACTCTTCACTTTGGCTTTACCCGTTGAACACACCACATGTAAGAGGAAAATGATATTAGCTAATGACTTTTAACACTGCGATATCTGAAGAGCGCTTTCATGTTAGATCACAGGAAGCGACATCGTCTTATTGGTCGGCTCTCCCGATTTGTGAATCCTGCTGAGACATAACGATAACACAACAAGTACTTCTCAAACATGAGGTTTATATTTTTTTAAAAGCATTACAACCGTCACATCAAATATGTCATTGATGTGAAATTGGTGTATTCACAACCATCGTGTGATAACGATAAGTGAGTCAACAGCGACACGCCTGCTGTGGGATTGTTACTTCAAATAGTGATTCAAATGTTGAACTCAAAATCAGAAAAATCCTTCAGTTTGAACGATCAGATGCTGATCAAAGACACCAAACAATAACAGACACCAAAATCACCAAATTGTCTGTAAAGTCTTGAAAAGAAGCCAAGTTACTGTCCACCTAAGTTCCTACTCAAAGAAATTATATTTTCAGTCAACTTCCCCAAAACTCAATTGTCCTATAATAACACAGCCTCTGTTCCACTGAGGAAAATTGGCATCTTTTCACAGCTTCTAGTGCAACAAGTAGTTTGCCATCAATGACTTTATTTTACCATGACTTCCTGTCTGTGTGTTGCTACTGAAAACAGTTTGACAGGAAACTTATGAAGCGAATAGTAAACTGCACGTGCATGCAGATATTTTTTAATTTTACAAAATTGATCCCTGAGGGGAAACTCCGGCACACACTCTGTTATTAAGAGACGCGCTTGAATCACACACATGCACACTCAGGACCTGTGGACATGCATTTGAGGAGAGACGTCAGAGAGGGGTTGGGGGTTCGGTGCCTTGCTAAAGGGCACATCAGCAGTGCTCAGGAAGTGACTTGTCACCTCTCGAGCTACCAGACCAACTTCCATATACTTGAACCGACGACCCTCCAGTTCCCAACCTAAGTCCCTGCAGACTGAGATATCTGTTTAAAGACATTCATTAAAGCTAAATTGTTATTAGATTGCGTGGCCTCTTTTGCTCGCCTGTGTAAATTCAAAGCCAACTGAAACACTAGTGGACGATGTCACCTGCAGGACATATTGAGACTCGAACACTTCCAACACCCAACTCCAGTCCCAAGACCATGGACTCTAAATGCAGAAAACATATGTTTAGTTTACTGAGGACTTTTGAAACTTAGATACAAAAACTGTAAACACTCAAACTGTCCTAGAATATCTCAAAAGAACTGAACCTCAGTTTTATTCTCCTGCAGATTGACCAGCTCCCTGTCGCTCACAGCATTATCATAAGATCAATGCTTTGTGCCCTCGCTGCTAAAACACACTCGACAGGGTTCCCAGGCAACAGGCGTGTCCCCTGCCTCCCCCCTCATCCACTTCCTCTTTTGTTTCAGTCGAGTGTCATCGTGCTCTCTGCTGAGGGTCTTGATGAATGCAGGGTCAGGACCTGGTTACTACACAGGCGCTGGGATTGATGTGCATCAGCCGTCAGGTGGATGAAAGGATGAGGTCTGTTATTACTGACACAGCAGCCTCATTTATGAACCCGCTGACTGACCGCAGCAGAGGATGTGGTGTTTGAGTGAAAACTGGTTTCAAATCAGATTCTTGTTTTTTTTTTTTAACCCCTGAAGCTCATGAGAAAGTGCAGGACATGATGCAGCTCCTCCTGCTGCTATCAATGGTGTGAGAAAAGGTTATGTCACAGCTGGATTTAAGAAGGGAGCATCATTTTTGTGGCAGAAAAGCGTGCAGCTGGAACGTGGTTATCCATCACTACAGCAGCAATGCAGCTGATGGTCGTGTGTTTAAAAAGTAACAGCTGCAAAAAAGCGTGATACATTTATTAGCAGGATTTTTTTCATTACACAAAAATCCTGTTCTTAGAGCACTGTCATTATATCGGTGTGTTTATTTAGTGTTTTGTTTTCCTTTTATTTCTTTTGAGGATGGTTTTTAAATTAGCCATTAACATGTTTTTACTTTTTACCGCACCTACAGATGAGACTTGATATCATTTAATGTGCTGAAAGATTTAAGAAATACTTTGACTTTATTTGAGCAGCTGTACTCTCTTCCATGTTTAGCTATTGTCAAAAAATTAACAGTGGGTCGGAGACACCTGGTCAATTTAAAAACACATGGACGAAACCTCAGTGACATCACCCAGTGGTTAATGAAGGTGGAGCTTGATGGCGGTCCCCATATTGAACCTACTGTTTGGTTGACCTAACATGCGGCAAACAGGTGGAGCTGAGGCGGGTTTTAAGTCTCCTGACAATCAGCTACACCGAGCCTGTCAGTCAGCTCAGCTACGCGCCTTATCATCAAGACCTCTTATCCTTCATGAAATCAAACGGATGAGTTATACAAAATTCACCCCCTGTACAGTGTGAGGATAAAAACACAAGCTAATCAGACCTGTTTCATTTTGAACCAGGCGTTAAACATGTTCATTTCTGCAGTAAAAACTGGCTTTTCTTTCTTTCTTTTTTTTTTGGAATGGATGTGTATGTGACTTCTGGATCTTCTGCAGCCAGCCTCTAGTGGACACTTGAGGAACTGCATGATTTTGCACTCCCACACCCGAGGTTATCACTTCAAAGGGTTAATTTCATGTTTTTAATATATCAGTTAATGACAATTAACCACCAGACAATTCAGTCAAGATGCGAAACCACAAACTCTGTTCGTAGATCAGTGATGATTCCATCAAATTGGGATCTCACAGAACTTGATCAAATGTGACTTCAGAAAAAAGAATCAGGGAGGTGGACTGTCGTCGTCAGCTGTTTGTACTTGTGTGCTATTTTTGTGACGAAACGCAAAGACATAGACAAAGCAGGTTTGGTGATAATAAATATATGAAGATGGAATCAGCTAGACTTAGAGAGGTTCCTGTTGTCCGTTCATCTTTGTTCCTTCCACACTGCAGGATCTAAACCACTAATATCCACAAAGTTTGACGTTATAAACAGCCGATACAGTGGCTTGAATAAAGGTGGATCTAATGCAGTTTCTACCAGTTAAATAAAGGTTAAAATCACAGGAGGGGTGAGGATCTTTTTGGTTCATAATCCATTCAGAACCGCCTCAAATCGATAACAACCACTGTGATTGTTGCATGGGGTCAGTCGCTCCCCAAAAATGTGGCCACTTATTTAAAGTAGGATTTCAGCTTTAATGGACAGCCAATAGCAGAATCTGAAGCAGGTTAATTAGAGATCTTTTCCATTCTTGGCTCATTGTGTGAGTGTTTCTAAGGCTTTGTGCACTAACGAGCACAGTCACAGCAGGTTTCTGGGACAGGGTTTAGAACCACTAAACTGCAACACCACTCTGCCTTTCATCAACTCAGATTTTTAGGCTGCAGGTGAGTATATTTGTTGATTCATTTCTATACTTTACTCAGGTTTAACTGACAATTATAGGTCTGAATTCTGTATGTCCACTTTTTTAATTAAGCATTTATGTGCTGTGGTCGTGTTTGCCTTTATTGGATAGGACAGCTGTACAGAGAGAGGAAGTGTTGGGAGGAGAGAGAGAGAGGGGGAAGACATGCAGAAAAGAGCCGAGGTCAGACTCCAACCCACAGACGCTGCATGAGGACTAAAGTATCTGTACATCGGCTGCACAACAAAACCGCTAGGCTATCTGGCGCCCCCTGACTTGAAATTGTATCAGCTTCTTAAACAGTTGTTTCTCATATTTCTATGTGCAATTACTTAGGCAGAGAATACGACAATTTGAAATCAGGAAAAAGCAGATTCGAGGAGTGTAGAGATAAGTGCGGAGTGTCTCCAGGCTGCGCAGGGAGGAGGGAGAGGCTAATGGATCTGCAGCTGATAATCACTGCTGTCCTACAGGCTCTAATTGATGGTTTCACTGGACAATCTGCTCTTCAGGGCAAACTGAAAACAGCTCACTGAACACCTGTAGTGTCCTTTTCAACGTTTCACTCTATAGTGTTTGTGATGTATGTTTCAAGACCTCTGGAGCTTAAATCATCATTTCACTATTTCAAGAACAATTTTCTTAACATCATCCCCCGCCCTCCCTCGTGACCCCCTCAGTGTGTCCTACCAGTCTCTCATCTGCTGACAGCGTCCTGAAGCGACCCATCGCCTCTTTGATGACGTCTGTCTCCTCCAGGTCCGGCTGGTCGGCGATTATGTTCTTCCTGTTTTCTTCCAACCACAGCTGGAAGCCGGTCTTCGGCCTAAAGAGACGCAAGTTAGCGACAGATCCATGTGAACGTACATTCATTCAAGAGTCAAGATTTTTATTTGTCACATGCTCATACAGATGTGCAGTGAAATGTCTGTTCCGCAAGGCCATGCAATACACTCCAATTACTAACACACATATACAGTAAAATAGAAATATAATATAAAATTAAAAAAAATAATAATTATTTGAATACACAAAAAAAAAAAGCCCATTCATGTTTCCAGGAGTCATTTTTAAAAAGGAGTCAGACGGTTCAGTCTTTACCTTTTGTTTTCAGTGTTTTCTGCAGGCGAGGTTGGAGGCGGGACTTCTGCTTGTTTGTGCTGAACTGCAGGCGGCTCCATGTTCTGCTGAGTCTTCTTATTGGCTGATTTTGTGTTTGTCATCTGCAGCAGAGTGGACTGAGTCTGTAGAGAAAAATGCATTTTACCTTAATCGATTTGAAATCAACGTTGAGTTTCACAGTTATGTGACGGAAGGAGATGTCGGTACCTTTGTCTTTGGTCTGGGAGCCAGCGGTTTGAGGACGGGGCCTTTGCTCTGTTTCCCTGCAGACCCGCTGAGCGGAGCAGACTTCTTGCTGGACGTCATGTTGTCCAGGATGTTTGTGACTCGTGGCTGACCGGAGGGGGCCGAGGGTTTCCCTGAGCCGAGCATCTGCATGAGACCCATCCAAACGTTTATTAATTATAATATAAACTAAAGTCGTCAAAACGTTCAGTTTAACACTTCTATCGATATCACATGTTTTCAAATGATACAATCTCTGTTATTTTAAATAGTGATAGTATCGACAAGTGTGGAAGCTTTACTTTTTTTTTACCTAGTTATAAGACCGGTGCTTTGGAGAAGAATGGATGGATGCATCAAAGATTGCGACAATCTCCTGCACACCGTCTGAATTGCATAAATATGCTTGCAACACATCGGTTCTGAATTGTTTCCAGCATATTTGTGCAATTAAGGCAGTGTGCAGAAGTTTTCTTGCAATCTTTGTAAATCAGAACAAAGAAAAGACTCAACACTGGGTGCCTAGGATTTCTGTTTTTGTTGCTGAAGAACTGAAACAGACATCAATGTCTTTTGATTTCAGCTAGAATCAAATCCAAGTTTAATTTTAATGTCCTGTGTCTTTGTCCAATTGTATTGTAATGTTTTTCACATGTGGTGTTTATGCAACAAATGGCAATAAACTGAACTAAACGGACGTTTACGGCGCTGGTATCGTGACAACACAACTATAAACATGTCGGTCTCTCTTGACCACACAGCCTGACGATCTGTCTGCATGATCTCATCTAAATGATCAGAGAAATCAAGCTGTTGAAAGAACGAGGTGTCTTACCTTGAAAGGATTAGATCGTCCTGCTTTACCAACTGTGAAAACAAACAAAGTGAAGTTTGACAAAAGGTGATTTATTAAGTCTTCTGGATCAAGTCTCATAAGTTAGGTTTTTGTTTTGGAGTACATATCTGGAGCTGATTATGGCCAACAAGTCCACCTCTCTTAGAAAGTGTATGGGTCTGTCGCTATGGATCCCAGCACGATCAGTGCAATCAGCTTACAATACACAATGAACAGGGACAAATTTTCAATGGCGCCACCTCGCATGTAGTTAGCGTGTTATGGTGGCGGCTGCACCGGCGTAATGACAGCGTTTGTGTCAGTATTTTATACTTGCATTTTGGTCACACCGGTGTATAAGACGCATCAAACTTTTACGATGCTTTCTCTATTTACAGATTTCTTTTCATTAGTGAAAAAAAATCTGTAAAAAGAGAAATTCTAATTTCTACTTGTTCAGTTTTTAAAAGTGAGATGTAATGTCGAATTTCAAGAAACTTTTCCAGTAAAACTTGCTAGCCCCATGCGTACATTTCCCCTGCAATAAAGCATTTCAGACCTTATTATCTGCTCGTATCTAAATATAAAAAAATCAGACGTTTCTCTGAACAGTCAAATTAGATTTTCTTTAATTGTAAAATTAATAAATACACTTTTTAAGATTAGAAACTGTGCAGTGCGTCTCAAAAATGATTTATTCCGACAGTTTACAGAAGAGATCCCCTTATATGACATAACATTTCATGATGTGGATGTTTACTCACTTGGCGTCAGAGAAGGCATCACAGGTGAGCCCGCTTCTTTAGCGAATGGATTTACACCTGCAGGATGAGACACATCAGACATGTGAGCTGGTGTCATTAAATATCCGAGGTGTCGAGGAGATTAAAAAGCAAAGACAGCTTGAAAAAAAATACAAAAATAAAAAAAGGTGAGAACTGACGTTTTTTGGATTCTGTTGACTCCTCGGTCTCCATCTCCTGTCCATCCTCCTCCTCCTCCTCCTCCTCTCTGATCTCCTCTTCTTGCTCCTCTTCCTCCTCCTGATCATGTCTGCTGCTGTACCGTCCTCCTGTGGACTCACTCTGACCAAACCTGTCCAAATAAAACACTCCTTAACCACACTGGACGAGGTCTCTTCTGTAATTAAACATCCTCGATCTGATCTGATTTTTATATTTAATCAAACGCAGATAAAGCTTGTATTGCAGCTGTGGTTGATGAATCACATTTTTTTAAAGAGCTGAAGGCCCTGGTTCAGGTCTGAACGCTCGATTGTGACCAAAATCCTGATCACAACTATTTGAATTGTTATTGAGATCATGATTAATAAACACGATTACATATTGATTTTAAAATGTCTACATTAACCGTTCACTTCATAGTCAAAGATTAATATTGCCGTACCTGGATGCTGGTCTGGAGTACTGCGGCTCCTCTTCCTGCTCCTCGGGCTCGTCCTCTTGGATCTGGTTCGTTTTCTCCAGAGCGATCTCGCTGAGCCGCTGGGCGAGGGCCATGCGTCTGGAGCGGGAGGCGTACCGAATGGCCAGGGTCACGACATTCTGAGTCATCATCTCAGCCAGCTCCACACAGCGAAACTCTCTCTCCAGCTTACAGGACAACTGAGAGGAAACACGGAGTCTGCGTTAATTTAAACACTATTTAAGCAGCTGGCTCACTTCTCAATCCTGTAACCATGGCGCCCTGTTCACACATCATGAACTCCTGACATATTACAGATGCTTCAGGACATTCGAGCCCTGATCAGATCTGTGAACTACATCGTGATCTGACAGCTGATGTGTCTGTGTGGAGTTTCTCCTACTCACTGCAAACATCTTCATGAGCAGCTCCTGTTGCTCCTTCTGGGACTGACCCTGCCCGTCCTCGTCGATCTCGTACCCGCTGGACGACAGGAAGCTGTAGTGGTTGTGGAAGAGGGTTGAACGGAGGTACTGTTCCTGCAGGAGACAGGAAGAGGAACTTCATCTTTACATGACATGAAATATGGTCACTTTTCAAAAATAACTACATAAGAAAAAAAACCTCTTATGGTGCAGTTCAGCATGAAGCCAATAGGAGGCAGCAGAAGCCAAATTACATGAAGCAGCGCACATTTCATTTCAAAACAAACGGGCATTCATGAAAAACTCTACCCAGTGAAAGTAAAGATAGCAGGATGTCGGGAGTTGGAGATGAGTCACTCAACATGCAAGCAATGCAAAAGAAAGGGAAAATACTGCAGCTACACGACCGACCTCAAAGCCGCCAGCAACAACCGCTAGCTCTGCGACACAGCACCAATGTGTGCTGCCTCAGCCAGCACTGAGAGACGCTTTCAAGTCAGAATTTCCTCAAACGGTTCAGAAGATGACAAAAGCACTTTTATACTTTATTTGTAAAGACTTTCGCCCGTACACCAACGCTGATAACAAAGGCTTCAGGCAGCTGCTTAATGAATGTAAGCCACGCTGTGTAATGCAAAGGCGGTTCATTTTAGAAACTGCTGCAGCGACTTAGACGTGTGCAGATGTAAAGCAAAAAGACATTCTTTTAAAACAAGTGGACTCAGTCAAGTGAAACCCGAATGTTACACATTATACAAGAAAAACAAACGAGAGAGAAAACTGAGAGGGAAGTTTTAAGTTTTAAAAATAAAGAGCATTGTATTTGCATGTATTAAAAGCTCAGAGATTATAAACAGAAAATTTGTATTTACTTCTAGGATCTCTGAGGACCTGAATTTTAAGTGTATCATGATGTGTATTGTATGGTGAGGTTCTGTGAACTACCCTGCCCTGTGGTTCAATAAGACAAAAGTTAAACCTGGCAGCAACAATTCATTTCAATGGCAGAGCTCGTTAGTAAATCAATAAAACTGAACAGTTCAAATGAAAAAGTCGGTGCTCAGTGTGTTCAGCTTGTTTACCTCCATCTGTCCTTTCTCTGTGCTCGTCTGACACAGAGGCAGCTTGAAGGGCAGGATGCCCACAGCAGGTCTGGGCAGGGTGGGGGGGTACCTTGAGCCTTTACATGGAATACACCTGGCAGGGACAAAAACAGACCAGATTTAAAAAAAAGGGGGGGTCTGAATCAACATTTAAAACATTTAAGATCAGCCAGGAAGAAGAACCCAGGAGGCATCAGGATATCTAACACAATACACTCACTGATGAAGAAAAACTGTTGACCAATCATTTCAGTCAGACAGATTCTAACCATGTCTGTGTCTCCTTCATGCCTCACACATGACCGGAATACTTAAATGAAGTATTTATGAAGTTTCATGTGTGAAATTCTCAGCTGACAGGAAGCAAAAAAGAGAAAGTTTACCTGAGCTGCTGAGGGTTCTCATGGATTCCCACCACCCAGAAGTGATCGGATTTGCTTTTGCACGTCTCTCTGGTGTTACACACCGGCGTCCAGGTGTTACCGAGGGAACGGTTTAACATCCGGACCACCCCGTCAGAGTCCACATAGCAGGGGGTTCCTAAAAAAACAAAACAAAAAACCCCCCCAAAAAAACAGTTTATCATCTTGTAAATACAAAAACTGAGAACTCTGAGATAACCACAAACCACCGTTTGACAGACGGACCTTCAGCAGTGAATCCGAGCCAGGACAGGTAGGACCTTTGAGACAGAGGGAGCGGTTCTCCGTTGATGAGCTTCTTCTTCCTTCTGCCAAACTGCAGCAGCTGAATGCCGAGAGCCTGTTCACCGTCGAACCCCGTAGCTGACGATGTGAAAAGCGACACACACACTCAATCAAGAACCGAAAATATATATATATTTTTTTTTAAATCAATCTGTAGCCCAGTGCTTCATTACAACATGTTGAAAACAGGTCTTTGTACGGTATATTGACGTTCTGCTGATTTATAAAAACCCTCAGCTCAGCAGGTCTCATTATCAGAGGTTTGAGCATCTCTTACCTCGGTGGTAGACGATGAGCAGCTGCTCTCCGTGTGCGCTCATACAGACGACGGGCCCCGGCAGGCTGAAGATTTCTCTCTGCACTCCTCCGATGGAGAAGAGGCGGAGAGTCAGCGTGTTGGTGGCGACCGCGGCCCAGCCCTGACCCAGACAGAGCGCCCGTGCGTCCTCGCCCTGCGGCAGGTCCACCATCCACTCTTTTTTGGTGTCCCAAGACGAGAAGTGGAGGCACTGCAGCTTACTGAGAAGAAGAGCAGCGGGTTCAAAGATTCGCTTTAAGAATAAAAACTTCTTTTTTAAAAAAAAAAAAAAACGGATTCGAAGAGGTTTACCTGGCGAGCTCGTCTGTGCCCGGGCAGGCCAGCAGCACGGCCTCTTGGGAAAGATCGGCCATGGTGTGACCCAGAGAGTTTGTGAGGTGCATGGCGTGGTGAACGGCCGTGTCGTGGAACTCCACATCGATGGCGTTGTCCTGATCGTCGTTGTAGCCGCGAACGATTCCCACAGAGTTCCACATCTGAGACACAATCCGACTTTTACTACATATTAAACTTTATGTGGACTGAAGAGTCAAAAAGAACATAAACAGAACCCTCATTTATGTTATTCTCCAATTACAAATCGCTGTGTCCTACCATGAAGCGGTGAGTGAGGTGTGCGGGGGTGGAGCCTGGCTGAAAGGCCTTCTGAGGAAGCGTCGGCATCGGTCCCTCGTAGACGGGACGCAGGGGAGCCGACTTGGCCGCCGCAGGAACCACAACGCTGCCCGTGTCATCATCGTCTCCAAATTTATCCTGGCCGAGCCGCAGTGAGCCGGTGTCTGAACAGAGACGTGCAAAGATGTGTCATCGTTCACTTGAAGGATTTATACAGAATGTGAAACACTAAAACCAGCCACAGGAAGTTTGTCTGAGCAGAAGATGAAGAATATGGAGTCAAGGAATCTAATAATATGCATCCTCTGAAACCCGTCTGTCACTCACCTTGAGAGTTCTCATCATCGAGTATCGCCCCTCTGTTCCTCACCCGCCCGGTCGAAGGCATGAGGAAGTCATCATCGTCATCGTCGTCCCCTGTCACGGGTTTCTTTGCAGGTGAAGTGGTTTCACTCAAACCTTCATCCATGAGCCTGTCATCATCGTCGTCATCGAACAGGGCGTCGTAGTCTTTGGCCGGCTTTTTCACTGCAGCCTGCAGAGAGTCCAGAAAAGAAGTTATTTAGCATCCAAAAGAAAACTCAAGGTTGAAACACTGGACAAAGGGAGCTGAATAAAGGGGTGGAGCTTCTTAATTTCTTTTCTTCCAGCACACAGCAGTTCATTATTTAAACTGTGTGTTATCTGAGTGTTACCTTGGTGTGTTCGGTGTTGGATACAGACGTGTTGAGTCCGTCCAGCAGACTCAGGCAGCCCTCTGTGTCTGTGAAGACGATCTGACTGCCCGATGGATGCCAGGCCAGGCCGCACACGGTGAAGCCTTTCTCGTGCTTCTGCCTGCAGCAAAGACGAGAGAACGTTAACTAAAAACTTTAGGAAACAAAAACACCTGAAGTTCAAATTGTAACCTGTAATTCCCCGGCCTCCGCACTCAAAGACACTCCCTGCACCGCCTGGTTGTCTCACCTTTCCACACAAAGCTTGCTGTTCACGTCCCACACGGTCAGTGAACCCCCCACGCTGCCCGCTGCCAGGAACGTCCCACATGGAGACCAGGCCACCACGTTGATGGGCTGCGGAGAAAAACAGGAGGGAGAATTTCAAAATAAAGCAAAAAAAAAAAAGACTGAAAACCTTCTGTCCTGCAGATGGTTTTATATTCTGTTTGTCAAAGTCAGATATTTTGTATTAAAGAAAATTAAAACTTAATTTAAATTCATGCATCTCAAGTTTGAACACCAGATAAAATAAGGGGACAGAAATCAAAGAGAAACAGGAGGTTACAAAGAACGGCACGATTTAAGTGGGAAGTGTTGCTCAGCTCTTAATACGCTTAAATCTTTAAATTCAGCAGCTACAGCAGGTTTGGCTCTGAAAATAAACACTTCAGGGCTCAAAGTAAAGACACTCACTAAGGCTGTTAAAATAAATAAACGAGATGTGAAGGTACTATGAAAGAAAAAGAAAAAAATCCTCAGGACTTCAGTCAGATTCTTTATTTATACATTGATCCTTTAAAAAGGAATTCATAATAGTGAAACCGAGATTACGTCTCAAACTATAATCGTACACTCAAAATCTGTAAACGTTGTAGTAAAAAGTTCTTCATGTGGTTATAAAACAGACTACAATAAACACTGATGTCTCCATACGAGCTACAAAAGCTTTAGTCTTTAATTACCCAAGTACTAAAACCTCTGCCTGTAGACGCACCAACCTGTCTGTGGTCGTTCATTTGCACCTCACCTGAGTCAGCAGATCGTCTGACAGAGTGCTCACATGGTCCCAGGAGCCTCGCTCGTACAGCTGCACCTTCGTCTCCACAGGAACCGCTAAAACCTGAGACAAACAAAGACAATGTTGTGTGTCACACAAAGAAGTCGTGCAGAGATGGAGGTGAAACAGAAGAAACAGAGGCTCCCTGAAACTGACCTTCCCGGTCCCGGGCTGCCAGGCCAGACGACACAGAGACTTTGCGTTACTGACGTCATTCGTCTTCTGCAGCAGAGGCCAGCTGATCAGCTGAGTCTGAAAGGACACAGAGCAGGTCAGCATCGGGCAGACTGTGCAGAGAGTGAGCGCGTTCAAAATAAAAAAAAAAAGGTTTGTGTTAATGAGATTTTTTTTTTTTATATGTTTCATACCTGCTGCTCTATATTCCAAACCACAACAGAGCCGTCACAGCTGGCAGACGCCTGACAGGGGAGGCAGAGAACGTTTTCAGTTTCGTCTTAAAAGTCAAAACAGTTTCATTCTTTGATCTATCGATAAAAGAAACATTTTACCCACCAGGAATTCATCTTCAGGATCCAGAGTAACGCTGAGAACCGGGGCTTCATGGCCTCTGAGTGTTTTCTGTTTGCTGCTGTCCGAGACTTCCACCACCTTCACCATGAAGTCACTGAGGAGACAACGGAGAAATCACATCAGGCAAACCGGTGTGTTTTGGATCTCTGTGTCAACATGTGAGAGGATGGAGAAAAGTTCACATCAGCGTTGACACATCAAGAGCTCAAATCATCAAATCAATGAACCAGAAGGACAAAATAATGCTGATTTCCGTCAGGATGCAGATGCTGAATCCGCCCTAACAGCCTCAGATGCGGGACATTTTTTGCAATCAATATCACAACTGTTATTACCAGAGTGAAAAATAGCAGCATCAATACGGCGCCATGCTCCGTGCTTTTATTGTCGTGATAAACCTGCTTAGAGCAAATCAATCCTGGCAGGAAACAGACGTTTATCTCCAAACTCGACTAATCACAAACCGATCCAGAGTCTGTGAGGTGAAAACATCAATCAGAGGCCGCTCGTTCTGCACATGCACAGCATCACTCAAACTAAACAGATCACAGGGAGGTTTTAGTCAGAGCGTGCACACAATGTTACGCACAGCGACTTCTTCAACAGCAGCTGAAGGAGAAGAGGACATGGAGTGAATGCGTTTGATTTGACAGAATAAAATCCCTCGTCTTTCAGCGCTGGTATCACCGGTGAGAAATACCTCGGGACAATTCTTCCAAGTCAGCTGGACGACCTCTCTGAGGAATCCATTCTTAAATTTACGTTTTTTTTGTTGAGTCAAATGTCATTCATTCAACCTTCATTCAAATCTTAGAAGAATCATTGAGGGTGTGCCCGATTTTCATTTTTTCTGCCGCCTGTCCAAGGTCAGGTCGCAGAAAGCAACAGGCAAAGCAAGTCAACCCAGACTCCCCTCTCCCCAGTAATGTCTTCCAGCTCCTTCTGGGAGATTCAAAGGTGTTTCAAGGCCAGATGCTCCAGCGAGCTCAGGGTCTCCTCTCAGTTGGGCGTGCCTGGCAAATCTCCAAAGGTAGGAGTCTAGGAGGCATCCTAATGAGATGGGCAAACCGACTCTGGCTCCTAAAATAGAATCTGCTCATCCCCTTCTTGTACAAAGCCTCAGGAGTTGGCCTTGAAGGTCAGTCTGTTGCTGATGTTGACGCCGAGGTACTTGTACTCCTCCACCGTGCTGACATCCTCTCCCAGAATGCACAGCTGTCCTCTTCCTCCTGAAGTCAATCACCATCACTCTGGTCTCGGCCACATTCAAAAGCAGGTGATTTATTCCGGTCTACTCCACATAGTTGGCCGTCAGTGGTCTGTAGCAGGAAGTTGACGGCATCGTCCAATCACAGGTGTGGTTGGTAGTCAAACTGCAGAGGATCCAGTGATGGTTTCACCTGTGACCTGAGGTGGGGTAGGACCAGCCTCTCTAACGCCTTCATCACATGAAATGTGAGAGTCACTAGACGATAGTCTTTGAGGTCAGATGGGGTTGTCTTCTTCTGAACCAGGACCAGGCACGATGTCTTCCACAGACCATAGCATGAGATCCTCTCCTGGCTCAGGTTGAAGAGGTGTTGCAGACGAGAGGACAGCTGGCTGACACAGGACTTCAGAACATTTAGGCTAATGCCGTCAGGGCCTGAAGGATGTGGACAGCTAAATTCTTTGTATACACTCTGCACTCATGACGGCTTAACTGTCACTGGTAATTCATCTGGGGGTGAAGGTTTGTCTTGGAAAATGTTGAAGCAGCTTCTGCTAATTTCATTCATTTATTAAGTCTTCTATGAATGCCATCAAAAAACAGATTGACACATACAGATAAAGAAATAAAATCCAGATATCCGAGTGAGCTGATGCGAGAACAAAGCAGGATATAATCAGGAGAAGTCACCTCGAGCGAGAGGGGGTGGTAACGTTTATTTCCAGTGATCAGTTCATTAGTTCTTGGTCTCAAGGTTGATATTTATTCCCATCGTAATGTCCAAGGAATTTAAAAAAATGTTGCAAGAGGGGGTCCCCACCTGAGACCATCTGCCCTCCAGCCCACCTTCCTGTGTGACAGGGATAGACTCCCGCTGTGAGGCGCGTGTGTGAACGATCAGATCAGGAGGATTTCTAGACACTTTCAAGAGTGTTTATGTGAAAACAGCTTTAGTAACACCGTCTACTGTTTTCACAGTCAGTCTACTTTCACTTCTTGTCTCGTACCTGGAGCCTGCTGCCACTCTGGAGCCGCTGCTGTTGAAGGCGACGTGCGTGGCGTTGGTAGTGAAGCGGGTCAGGATGCCGTCTGGATCGCCGTCAGGAAACGTGTGGATCTGCACCGTGTTGTTGGAGCTCGCAGTCACAAGCTTCCCTTTCTGTGAAGGAAAGATCAAACCTCAGTCCAATTCTGACCACAGCTTCTCAAAAAGGGCTCAATGACACATCACAGGTCTTAAGTTTAATAACCAACAGAGGGCAGCAGGTGACGTACCTTGAGTGCCAGGGAGTACGCTTTTTCCCCAACGGTGATAAACTTCGGATCATCATCGTCCATACCCTCCCATATCCGAACATCTCCATCACTTCCACAGGTGACGATGTACCTGAGGAAGTTTCATGATGGTCAGATTTAACAAACACTGAGCCGCAGAAGGAAAAGTTGAAAGCTGATATCGTCATTTCAGAAAGTACTTTTTTTAAAACTTTTCTGCCAATTTACTTTGCTCACTTGAGATTCATCTTTTGATGATATTGTGTTTCTGTTGAACTCCACATAGCGTCCATATAAAGACAAATATTATCATTAAATGTTGTAAAATGGACTCAATTGATTCGTCTTTTTTTTTTAACCTCACATCTAAATATAGAAGTCCAATATGCACCAGATATACAGTATGTTGAATCTCTCATTTTTGATTACCATGAATTGCAGACTAACTCCTGCACAAAAACACGTCTTTGCTAAGAGTGTGCAGGACTTTTACCCATGTAACGTGCATTTGCACTTTGTATGTTTTATGTAACGTCTGTGTTGTGTTAAGTGACTCTCCCTGCAACCAAATTTACCTTCAGGTACAAATAAAGGAACCTGAACTCTTGCATGTCATTTTTGATGGATGAATTCCTCTCCTGTGCACCAGTCTTATGAAATAGATGCAGGTTGAAAAAAAAAAAATACTATCGATCACTAAAACAACAGATTGTTTCGTTTTAAATCATGTAGTATCCAAAATTATCAAAGTGTCAAACATTTTGACAACTCTTTTATTAGGTTAAAAACATGTTTCTTAAGAAAATGAGTATTTTAGTGCCATTTAAAGGGTTTTAGTTTGTATGTAATTGTGAGTCACAACATTTTTTTAGTGTTATTAAGACAGCTAATTGTTATAGACAGGGTCAAATGAATCACATGGACTTTGCTTTTATCCATCTGGCTGTACACAAAGTTAGGACTACAATAATAATGCTGAAGAATTAATGTGATGAATGAACATGAGAAGAGAAATGTGACGTCCAGTGATATCAGACGACATCCTCCTCAGCATTACCAGCCACACACAGCATGTGATATAAAACAAGAGAAACAGGAATACACGTTTGTCATGTTTGACTTACTTCCCGGTGTCGTCGAAGCAGACCTCGGTGTGTCCCTCCGAGTGTCCGTAACGAAGCTGCTTCCTCTCACACGGCATTTTAACAAACCAGCAGACTGACGAGACAAAGACACGTCAAGGTGAGACCAAGAAGAGGAACGTGTCACCTTAACGTTAACGGTACGACACCCTAAACTCAAAACAAACTTTTATTCCACAAGTTTTAATCACGAAGCGACAACTTACAACTTCCTCCGGTTTTCTCCACTGACTCGATTCTCTTCTCCTCCTGAATCTCCCGCGCTGCGTTGAAAACAAGGAAACGCAGCGTCACGACTTCCCGCCACCTACGTCATGACGTAGACGTCGAAACCCCGCCTTTGTTTGCGTGCCACGCAAGAGGAGGCCGGGTTATGATTATTACTGCATGGCTCCTTGGCTTTTCTTCACAATTATGGGACAGCGACGAGAAAAGGTTTTGAAGTACAGGTAGTCAAGCCTTTAATTGTAACTTTAAGTCTACTTACGGCAAGAATTAGATATTGTACTTTTTTTTTTCTCAGCTTCATTTGTCTGACAGCTTGTTTTAGCCTACTGTCTGATAGGATGAAGCCAAGGTTTCCTAAATGGTTAACCACTTTTTCCAACTTCTTGAATTTAAGAAATGATCAAAGCCCACTTTTTCTCCACAACCAAACTCAAGAAATGCAACACGCCATCGAAATCATCCATCCATTCAAGACTGATGGAGAAATCCCAGTTACAAAACATATACAGTCCTTAAATCAGCATACAATGATTAACACAATAGCAAACTTTTGTTCTTTTCAACCTCATACTGCAGAAACACATACACTTCAGAAATAATCCTTACACTAAACTTCAGACTCCTTTACTTTTACAGAGTTAGAGAGCTGACTGTGTACTGGGTTTAGGATACAATATTATTATTAAGATTTTCCGCAATTCTCTTACTTTTATTTAAAATAAAAAGAGATTGAAGTCAATTCATGAATCATTATACCTTTATTAAAATAATCTGACACTATAAGTGCCAAATATAAATTTGTTCTTAATTTGACAACTCCCTATATCAGTTACTGATGTCAGATAAGAGAAGCCTTAAAGGTAAACTCACCGCACACTGTCACACTTGCAAACAAACATTTATCAGCAACATTTCTGTTTGTTTGCAAGTTAGACAGAGAGCTGGTGTTTACCTTTACATTTTTGTACCTTTTTTTTATGAAGTGGATGTGCAAAGGTTTTTTCTATTTCAAATAAGAGAAGCCAAAAACATACAACGCCCTCTGCTGGTTAAAAAAGAATACTGCAATATGTTTTTTTATCTCATCAATTGAAATTGTCCTGTGTTTCTTTTTATTTTTCATTGTATAGTTGGTACGCTGCATCCCTAGAGCTTAAAGTTAGAGACAAATATTCTTGCTAATTCTTTAAATTATTTGTATCCACTGTTGATTAATATATATTTATAATCTACAGAATTTAGAAAGACAAACCACCACTGTCTGAGTCTTCACCCGCCCGTTTGAGCATCGTCTCAGGGGAGAATTTGATTAGTGCAACAGGAAATGCTGCAGTGTTTGACAGCTGGGTTTCTAAATATTACATGACTGAAATGTAGGAGATCATGTTTAAGCAGACCATGAGCCTGATACTTGTGTTTCAAACTACACATGGATTAACATTCAACCTTAAAAGGTAATGTCCAGTTTCTTACATTAGGATAACAGATGTACCATAAATGTAAAGTAATATGTTGTGTATCGACTCTGAGCCGCTGAAAAATGATGCTCGATAACTAGATCATACAAGACGTCGTTAATATTTCATGTGTGTGGTTCAGGACAATCGATGGACGTGGCTCTGGCCTCCGTTCATTGACTGAACGGTGACAAATCAAACATCATTGAGATCAAACACAAACACAGAGCTGGCCTAAATTAATGAAAAATTTGTCGAATAGAGATCTAAGTTAATAGTTATATAGTTTTGTCTTTTTGATACATGTGGAGGACTTTAATAGTTTCATATCAACCAACTGGACTCTTGAAATGGCTTAATCCTATATTTCCAGTACTGTAGGAAGAAATCAGCTGCTGTAGTACCAAATGCATCTTTCTTAATCCTGCGTTCAAATCAAACTGAAAACAAATGATTGCATGAGGCCATTTTATAAAAAAGCATAAGATGTGACAAATGCATGTTCAGTCGTGTTAAATGTTTCAACTTATGTGAATAATTTACATGATGATGGTGTGCATTGAGATGTTTGGCTGAATGTTAAATGATAAGATGAATCTATTTTTCTTAGATTAGTGTTGTCTTTGTGCGTCCTACTGAAATTACACTCGTCTAAGATACATACCTACTCTGTACTTATTCTCTAAACTGAACAAAAACATAACTTGCACTAATAGAAATAAAGACAATAGACGTAAAATGCTGATGGATGTATGACGTACACTTGCATGACATACCCAGTGTTTAGTATTCATGCAAGCCACCTCAGTGCAGATGATTTTTTTTTGTACACAAAGAACCGAACGGCAAAATGAATGAATCAGAAAGTCTGAATTTCAGCCGAGCTATGGATGGGGAAACGGTGTTTTTCATGTCCTTATCGTTTCATTCACTCTGCTGGAGTGCTGGCATTTAGAGGTGTCCTTTGCAGAGAGCGGGGTGAATTGTTTTCAAAGCGACATTTTCCATACCATTAGCCTGTCTAACTATGAGCTGCGGGCGGGAACACACATGAATACAGATGCGCCATTAAAAATCAGAGCAGAGAACGAGGCAAACTACAGAGGCAGTGTAAATGGCATTTATTGGTTTGTGTGTCAGGGTGGTGAATACAATGTGTGCCTTGAGGGTGAAACATAGTGATCACAGTACTTTGAAAATAGTGACCTGTTATCATCAAAGCTGCAGAGGCACAATTGATGTTAAAAGACCAAATTAACAGAGGAGCTTTCAGCAAAGATTTGGTCGTAAACAGGCATCAGAATGGTGTAATGATGGACAAGTGAAGAAGTACGGTTGTGTTGCCATCTTGTGGCTGCAAAGAAGAATGCAGTCAAGAATAAAGTGCTCAACATTTGCATAGAGGAGCTGCAAATAAAAAGGAGGTGATGATGGTTACTCCAATGATTTATGCGACATGTAGAAAAGGACTTCTCCGTACCACTTCACCCTAATGAGCAAAACGGTGTAATAAGGTGTAAGATGAGTCTCTGTGCCTCCAACCTTTTGACCAAGAACAGCTAAGAATTGTTCATTTATGATAAAAGGGTTCATGAAAGGACATTTGGTTTCTGCCATGTAACCTGAAAGGTGCAATTCCTCTTGCAGCAATACTATATTTCACATAATAAACCCTGATTGGTCGGAAAGTCAAAGGTAAAATGCTCCAGCTTCAAATCACTCGAGTTGCAAAAAAAGAAGGGGGTGGCGTCGAGGTCACGGTGCTATATTTGTAAGGTCTGTGTGTTTTTGAGAATCTGTTCACCATTCAGGATACTAAGGTAAATGTTTCTGAGCATGTTGACGTAATTACATGTATCAGCTGTAGCGGTTGCGTCCTTGTCTCATGGCCTTGATGATGGCCGCACATATACTGCTTTCCCATATTCACAAGACTTTTTTCCTGCCACCCCTCTAGTTCATTTCAGGGTCAAGTTGGGCTGAGCTGATGTGTGAACACAGCTGGAAATGTTCAGGGAAATTCCCCTCGAGCGAGCGGGAGGAGGTGACGATGACACATCCTGCAACTGGTACACAACTGGTGCAATCTCCAGGCATGTTATGAAACTGCTTCATTATGTTTTCTCTTGGCCAGCATGTTCTTTCCCACTCGTTTGTTGATTCAGAAGTCAGCGGAATCAACACTGATGTAAAAAAAAAAAAAAGCTCTAAATCGTCATCAAAGCGTCAGACTCTTTTGATCCGTCCATCATTTCCACTTTTTCCTGCCTCCTGAGACCTCCCCTCCCGTCTGACAGCAAAAGTCTACCACTATCTCAACAAGATTTCAGGGGCTACCCGCCTCAAATCTTGACATTTTCAGGAGTGCATTATGTGAGATCGGCTACAGAAAGTCCAGACCCAGCTTTCAAACCATCCTTTAGAACTGAAGCACAGTTTCAGAGACATTTCATCAACATCTGCTTCTCGAGTTTTTGGATTGAGATCCATAGAGAAGGTTAATGATTATCTGTAAGTTCTGTTTTTCATCTCTTGATGCATCAAGATCAGCAACCAATTTAAAGGTCGCCCCAGTTCAGATTTTTCATCTTGCAACAGTGAACCAACTTTGAATTCATTGGCAATGTTTTGCCTCTTTGCCAGCCTTGTAGCATCTTTGCCCTCCATGGTGTGAGGCCTGCTTTGAACTGTCAAACAGCACAGGCGCCGTCACACTTAATGTGGTACTGTCTGAGGTAGTCCCTGAGCTGAGGGGGCAGCGGCAGACAGTCTATGCCCTGGTAGGTGGTGCAGCTGCAGATCACAGCCCTGGACAGGTGCTGGAGGGTGAAAGGGAAACTCCTTGGTAGTGGTCGTGATAGGAGCGGCTCAAAGAAGAGGCAGGTGGCTGGGTCGCTGTAGTGTCTCAGAAGTCCTGTCACACTGGGATCCCGGTACATGCACGGGTCCCGCACATCAAAGCTGAAGCGCTTGGCGTTCTGCTCGATTCGTGCGTGTAGGGAGCGACTGTAGCGCCGAAAGCTGACCGAGAAGAGGAACTCATCCTGGGCAGAGTCTCGGAGCAGAAATGTTCCCTCTGGTTTGCCCTCAAGGAGCTCCTCGGCCTCGAAGCGGTTCAACACACCCCAGTAGCACGAGCTGTTGTTGATCTGCAGCAGATCCGGGACCAGGATGTAGTCAGTGTGGCCACAGCTGCCCTCTGCTCCACCATGAGGACATGAAGGGTTCCAGTCCTCCAAGCTGGTGCTTCCAGCCCCAGGAGAGCAGATGTCCTCCCAGGAGAGGGGGGTGTGTGGTGGGGAAGAAGAGGAGGTGGAGACGCTGGGTCTGAGGGGGGTCTCCATGTCTTTGAGGGCATTTGAGTGGGTGTGGTTTTTAATGAGGTGCCAACATCGGGCCAGTTCAGATTTGGGAGAGAAAGGACACTTATCCTGCATGAGCTCTGAGACGTGGATCTTGCGTTTGGACCAGAAAAGAACTGAGAAGGTCTGGAGGAGCCTGATGGATGGTGGTGATGGTGGTGGTGGTGATGATGGGAGCGAAGAGGCAAACACTGGCCCACAGCGTCCTGAAACTTCTGCCGAAGAGAACGCCGGGACAAAGCCTTCCGAC